TTGTAGAGCATTAATATAGATTAAGAAGACATCTCAATTTTGAAATAGAAGAAAGAGAAAATTATATCTTATATTTTGATGTTTACACTCGGGAATTTTAATGTTATTTAGTTCATATTTTTAACATGGTTGTATTTAGAAAATTAAACCAAGTTTGGAATTACTAGAAAACAAACTTATAAGCCACAAATTACCTATGGCCTATAATCATATTGTTTACAGCCAACCCGTGATCAAAGGGTGTTGGCCACAGATTGGCCATAGAACACGAAATTGTGGTAGTTGCTGGAGTTGCCATTAACTTTTGACCACGACAAAGGGTGTCTGTGGCCTATAAATGCTAGATCCCACCATACCTTTTCACCCTTACAAAAGTATGCACTATATATTAATATTTTCCAAATCCCCACAATCATTACCAAAATGATGAAGATAACTAGTAATATTCTTTTGGGCAATCCATTGCTATAAAACTGTGGCCAACTAATAGCACTTTTTTTTTGGTAATAAATGAATGTAATTCGATCCTTGGAATAAAATTCATATTCAAATTCACTATTTCGTTCCACCATAGTACATCAACCGTGGGCATGATTTTATATATATTTTTTCTTAATGTCAAGCTGAGCTATTAAAAATAATCTATTATTCATACTACATTTTACTCATTTAATATCCAATTAAATATAATTTTATATAATCTCATACTGGGCCAATGTAATATATTAATTTAATTAGTAAATTAACACTCAATTTTTATGAAAAGAAATTGTATTAATTACAAAAACAAATAGTGAGACATCATCATCATACTTTACCATCATACATAATGTTAAATATATACAGTTGCTCCAAAATAGGCATCTCCAAACCTAAATACAGACCTCATAAGTTCTTCCAAAATATACACAACAAATGATATACAGTAAGCCTTACAACCCAAAACTAAACATAGCCATGGGTTGGGCAGCAATATGCTACAACCCAATATCTAACAAGCATCCATACTTGTTACCTGAGAGTGTAGGACATTGGCGTGGTTGCCCCCATCTTGTGGCTGATAGAACAACGAGAGAAGAGAGACGAAAAAGACGACGCCATTGACGACGACGAAGAAGAAGACGTCGGCATAATGAGTGAGGCCGCCATACCTTTACCAGTATAAAAATTGGGGTTAGGTTTAGGGTTAGGGCTAGGGTTTTGGACAGAGAAGAGGGAGAGTGCCTTGGTGTGCTTTGGGGGAAGCTCTGAGAGAGCAGTGTGGCTCTTTATCTATGGCGGGGGTCTCTGTTTTTTCCACGGCATTTGAATTTTTTGTATTTTTCTTTTAAAATTATAAAAAAGGGTGGTGGTGGCGGAGGTGTTAGGTCCAATACGACACCGCTTCGCATGCTGCACGTTACATGAGGAAGTGGGGCCAGTCAAATCCATGTGAACCAATTCATCACGTCCCAATTCCTTGTACTTAGTAACGCTTTCATACGTTGGTTTCGCTTTCACTCACCACATGGCCTTTTTACGTTTTTTTTCCTTCTCACTCACTTTCTTCTGTTTTTGGTTTGAAAAGGGATGAGGATTTGGATTCATCGGCTCGAAATTTGGTGCCAGTTTCCATTCTTATGGTCAACTAAAATGGAATCTTATTAGGCAAAAGCTAAAGTTGGAATCTTTGAATGTTTTTTTGGTTTTATATTCCCTATTTATCTTCTTTGACAAAGAAAGGTTCTATTTGTATGGTTGATGAAAATCATTCCAAAAATATGGAAAGTAAAATCACCTTGCAAGTTTTTAAGACGAATTATTCAAGAATTTTGAAATTTCAAAAGACCAATCAACAACTAGTATTCAATTTCGAAAAACTTTACACCATACATAAATGAGAGATAATGCATTTAATAGTTGGATTTGTCACAATTTCTATAACCCAACAATTCTTTGAAGTGATTCCATCTTTGAAATATATTGTCCCTCCACTTTAAGTCCCACATGAATATTTTTGCTTACCACTTTAACCCAATCCGTATTATTATTACTCTTTTCAACACTTGACACGTGTCTATGGGTTTAATCATAGTTAACTCTTTACTTTGTTTTTGTGGAACTATGGTTATATTCATGAACACGTATCAAATATTGAGAAGATGACAATGGTGCTCCTTAGATTAAAGTGGTGAGAAAAAATACAATCGATAAACTTGGTTTGTGTTAAGAGAAGTGCTTGCTTAAAATGCTTATATTGGATACAAGTGAGAAACAATGCACTTATTGATTGTATTTGGCACAATTGTTGACGTGTGATAAATAATAAAAAAAAAAGTTGGGATAATACTTGGTAATACTCGTTATACAAGTGAGAAATTTATGTACTTTATTGAAACACCGTGTTCATTTATTTTGTAGGACACAATTGGATATCGAAACATTTTCCGATTTGTCTAATTTTTTGCAAGGATGATCTATGAATGCAGACTTAAAAATAGATGGTTTGGATCGATGAAAAAAATTCATAGGAAACCCTAAAGGGTGTCCCTCAAATAATCCTCAATAGAAGGGGACTAATATATGTATATCAAAACATAAGACTGTATATTAATATCTATATTTATGATGCTTTTAATATTTCAAGACTCTTATTTTAATGCCTACTTTTTTTTTCTTTTTTTTTTAATTTTCTTTTTAATTTTACTTTTGAGTACTACCGAATGGGGGAGAGGAGTTTACACAAAGATTCATTGGATATGTAGGGGTTTCGAACTTATGCTCACATGGGTGGAGGTGGAAGACCTCAACTCCCCATAGGCCTTGTTTTTTTTTATTTTTTGTTTTTTTCTAAGATCAATTTCCCAAAAATTTATTATACCTACTACTATTATTATTATTATTATTATTATTATTATTATTCAAATCCTTAAAAGCTAAGTCTTTTTCACCTATTTACAAAATTTCTCATGGCGAAGATTCATTGCTCTTAGCCATGTTTGAGACTTTTGCTTATTCTCTTATTCTCCAAATAATATATTATCAAGTTTCAATTGAATTAACTCTCTTAATTAAGTTTTGTTAAACTTTCTATTTTAAAAAAATTGATTTATCTTCACATATATTTTGTTTGGGTTTGTGAAATTTTGATTTATTCTCTCTGATGCATTTATTGGGTCTTCCAATTTATTTGTAGATTGCCAAAGGAAAAAAAATTGTAATTTTTTTATTATATATGTAATATATATGATGTTTTGGTCCTCTTAGTTACTTTGGCATGTAAATGTAATTTTTCTTCTCATACATAAGGTTTCCTCGTTTTACTAAGGTTTTGACTATGGTTTGATTTTTATTTCTTGTTTTTCTTTTGGGCCTTTCCACGTTGCCTATTTGTCTTTGACTGTCTTTGTTCTTGGATCTCCCCCATCTTATACTTTTCTCATTTCCACAGGCTTTCAACGTGTGGTCACTTTTCCACATTTCATTGAGACATGTGGTTGCTCGCTTGATCCTAGGACTTGGAATGGAACAAGCTTCTTGATTTCACACCACTGTTTTCTTTTATGACGATGTATATATCAATCAAGAAATGGAACAAAAAATGATTTTATGATTTACTTCCCTACATTTATTTAAAGCCTAAGGATTCACAAGAAAAATCCTATTTATGCTTATAGGATGCTTTCTGATCCTATGTATATGTTGCCCTAGTTTAACACATCCACAAGCAGAAGGGACAAAGCAATTTTTCATGTGCTACTCTACATATCTTTTCATGTGTTACTTGCAATTAAAGTGTCAAGCACAACATGCATTCGTCTGAAGTGTGTGTTGTAGAGCATTAATATAGATTAAGAAGACATCTCAATATTGAAATAGAAGAAAGAGAAAACTATATCTTATATTTTGATGTTTACACTCGGGAATTTTAATGTTATTTAGTTCATATTTTTAACATGGTTGTATTTAGAAAATTAAACCAAGTTTGGAATTACTAGAAAACAAACTTATAAGCCACAAATTACCTATGGCCTATAATCATATTGTTTACAGCCAACCTGTGATTAAAGGGTGTTGGCCACAGATTGGCCATAGAACACGAAATTGTGGTAGTTGCTGGAGTTGCCATTAACTTTTGACCACGACAAAGGGTGTCCGTGGCCTATAAATGCTAGATCCCACCATACCTTTTCACCCTTACAAAAGTATGCATCTATATATTAATATTTTCCAAATCCTCACAATCATTACCAAAATGATGAAGATAACTAGTAATATTCTTTTGGGCAATCCATTGCTATAAAACCGTGGCCAACTAATAGCACTTTTTTTTTGTAATAAATGAATGTAATTCGATCCCCGGAGTAAAATTCACATCCAAATTCACTATTTCGTTCCACCACAGTACATCAACTGTGGGCATGATTTTATATATATATATTTTCTTAATGTCAAGCTGAGCTTTTAAAAATAATCTATTATTAATACTACATTTTACTCATTTAATATCCAATTAAATATAATTTTATATAATCTCATACTGGGCCAATGTAATATATTAATTTAATTAGTAAATTAACACTCAATTTTTACGAAAAGAAATTGTATTAATTACAAAAACAAATAGTGAGACATCATTATCATACTTTACCATCATACATAATGTTAAATATATACAGTTGCTCCAAAATAGGCATCTCCAAACCTAAATACAGACCTCATAAGTTCTTCCAAAATATACACAACAAATGATATACAGTAAGCCTTACAACCCAAAACTAAACATAGCCATGGGTTAGGCAGCAATATGCTACAACCCAATATCTAACAAGCATCCATACTTGTTACCTGAGAGTGTAGGACATTGGCGTGGTTGCCCCCATCTTGTGGCCTAGCTGCTTCCTTCAAAGCATTGATGAATAAGGGTATGTCAATGCACTGAATGCCATCTATGTTCGCAGCTGCAAGAACATGATGCAATGGATTCAAGGGACTCTCATTCGCTCTTCTCGTGCGGCACATCAATTGCTTCTTTCTTCATCCGTTCCATCTCTGTAGACTGCACATGCGTGTTCAGCAAAAAGACGTTGTTCTTCATATGCAACCTTCAACGCTTGCAATTCATGATTGATGCCTTGTTGCTCAGTAATGATTTCAGGGACATCTGCCCATTTAGCACCAATCCTATACATCGCTAACCGTGTTTCGCCTTTCAGGCCAAAAAAGTTCAGCCAACAATTCATTTCGCACCTCTATTGTTAATTCTGTTAGCGAGATCCTAGTTTAATTAGGATATTTATTTCCTAATCTATTAGGACTCTATTTTTTTTTTCTTTTTGTACAGATATTATGTAATTAGAATTTTATCTTGTTTCCTAGTTTGACCCTACTAGGGTTACATCCTTATATTATAAATACATCTTTTTGGAGAATGAAATATAACCTGAAAATATTCTACCCATATTGTTTGACTTGGTATCAAAGCCAACTTTCTGATGACCTGTGTATTGTGCACACTTGTGTTCTAGCCCCATATTTTTTTTCTACTTGTGTCGTGTGTGTCCTCCTAGGTTTGTATGTTGTGTTGTAGTGTTCGTGTCTCTACTATGTTCGTGTCATTCCTGTCTTCGTGCATTTGCCGTATTTATGCTTTTGTTGTGTTTCGCTATGTACTCTGTCGTGTTCGTGCTTCTATTATGCTCGTGTATGTCTTCGTGCATTTGTCGTATTTGTGCCTCTATTGTGTTCCTATTCTAGGTACTGGCTCAAATACTTGGATAATTGACATTGGTGCTTCTGATCATATGACATATGATGCTAAATTTTTTGATAAGTTGTCTAGTAACACCCGTGACCCATACATAACTAGTACTAATGGCTTGCCCTCTCTAATTACTGGCGAGGGCACAATCTCTCTCACTCCTACTCTATCTTTGTCTCGTGCATTACTAGTTCCCAATACCCATTGTAACTTGTTATTTGTTGGTCGATTACTTGATCCACTTAATGTTTTTGCAACTTTCTATCCAACACATTGCTCTTTTTAGGATCTCAAGACTCACGAGACAATTAGGCATTGTAAACGGATATGGGGGGTTATATTATTTGACATTACCTTCTACACCAGTTCATGATCATGTCATTAATACTGTTTAAAGTTGTATTGTAAAAAACAAACAACAAATTTGGTGATGACATCGTCGCTTGGGACACCTATCGTTTGGCTACCTTAAGTGTCTGTTTCCATCTTTATTCTGCTGTTGTGATGAGTCCAGTTTTAAGTGTGAGACATGTATTTTGGCCAAGAGCCATTGCACTGTGTTTCCTTTGAGTGACAGTAAAACTGCAAAGCCTTTTAATTTAGTGCATTCTGATGTGTAGGGTCCAACTCGCTTTACTTCAAACGGATTTTGTTGGTTCATCACATTTATTGATGATTGTACCCGACTCACTTGGGTTTTCTTGTTAAAAATTAAATATGATGTTGCTTTCATTCTTCTAGAGTTTTGTATTATGGTGTATACTCAGTTTCATGCTCGGGTTAAAGTATTTCGAACTTATAATGAATGAGAATATATGAATAATACTTTGGCGTATTTCTTCTGTGCACAGTTTCACCAAACGACAACTCTGTTTACCCCTCAACAAAATGGTGTGTCTGAAAGAAAGAACCGACAATTGCTTTAAGTTGCCCGCTTACTCATATTAGATATGTCTTTTCCCCATCATCTTGGGGGGCATGCTGTTCTATCTATTGCTTATTTGATTAATCGTATTCCTAACCCGATTCTTGATTTCAAGACTCCCCATGATGTGTTTGGTGATCATGTTTCTAAAGTTTTTGGGTAATACCTATGTTCATGTCTACTCTCATCAACGGAGTAAACTTGACACTTGTGCTTTGCACTGTGTCTTTATTGGTTACTCTTCTACTCAGAAGTGTTATCATCCACCTACACAGAAGGTACATGTTACTTTAGATGTGACTTTCCATGAAGAAATGTCATATTATGTCTCTCTTTCCTCTCCAATTCAGAGGGAGTGGGGGAATGAATTGGAGATTCTTGGATAGGAGTAACTTGAACTTAATTATGTATGTGAAGATATTGCAGATATTGCTCTCGGAGAGAAAACGACCGATTGCCTAGATCTGGAGCTGAAGATGATGCTCTCGGCTTCAAACGACAGATCGCCAAGATGGTCACAACTGGTCGTCTGGCTCTGAACTTGAAGATGATGCTCACGGCTTCAAAATGACCGGTCGCCAAGATGGTCACGACCGGTCGTCGGGGTCTGAAAGTGACGATTCTGCTCTCTACTAAACGATCGGTCCCCTGGTGCTGTTTCTTGTGATTCTTATGAAGATGAGTTTGATACAAAATCCCCAGGCCTTGCCATTACTCTAGTTAAATTGTGATAATGAGTCAAGTGATGTAATTTTTGATGATTTGTCTGTGTCTACTTATCAATTATCCCCACAAACTACTCGTGGGAAACCTAAAGTACAATATCCCTGATATACATGCCAAATCTAAATATCCCATTAGCCATTATTTGACAAACCCATCGCTTATCTAAGTCATATACATTATATTTGTGTCAATTATCTAGTGTATGTGTGCCAACTAAGCTGCAGAATGCTTTATCTAACCCCAAACAAATGGATGCCTTGAACAAGAATAAGGCATGAGATTTAGTTCCTTTACCACGAGAAAAAAAAACAATTGGATGCAGATAGATGTTTACTTTGAAGCATAAGGCTGATGGTTCCATCGACCGTTACAAGACTAGATTGGTAGTAAAGGGTTATACTCATACCTATGGAATGAATTATTTGGAGACTTTTGCTCCAGTGGCAAAGCTCAATACTGTGTGTGTACTCTTATCCATGGCTGCTAACCACGACTGACCCTTATTGTAGTTTGATGTCAAAAATGCATTTCTACATGCTGACCTCATAGAGGAGATTTATATGGATCTCCCTCCTAGTATTCCTGTAACCTCTAAGGAGAGTGTTGTGTATAAGCTACGGAAGTCCTTATATTTGCAGCATCTATGAAGAAGTTTGGGTATGTGAAAAGTAACTCAGACCATACTTTGTACCTAAAACGTCATAAAGGTAAATTGACGGCTTTAATTATTTATGTTGATGATATGATTGTGACTGGAGATGATCAGGTAGAAATGCAAAGTCTTCAGAAGCATCTAGCTTCCGAGTTTGAGATGAAGTCATTAGGTGATTTGAAGTACTTTCTTGGGATTGAAGTTGCCAGATCTAAACATGGTATCTTTCTGTCCCAAAGAAAGTATATTTTGGATTTACTTGCAGAGACTAGAATGTTGGATTGTAAACCAATTAATAACCCTAGTGAACATAATCATAAGTTGGGGTTGTATCATGATCAAGTCCCTATAGATAAAGAGTGTTATCAACGACTAGTGGGGAAATTGATTTATTTAGCTCATACACATCCTGATATTGCATATGCAGTAAGTGTTGTGAGTTAGTTTATGCATTCTCCTAGTGAAGATCATATGGGTGTTGTGATGCGGATTTTGAGGTATCTGAAAGTAACTTCTAGCAAGGGGTTAAATTTTGTAAGTATGATCATACATATGTGGAAGGGTATATGGATGTTGATTGGGCTGGTTCAGTTACTGATAAACATTCTACGTCTGAGTATTTCACATTTGTTCGTGGTAATCTTGTTACTTGTAAGTGTAAAAAATAAAAACTGGTGTCTAAGTCTAGTGCCGAGGCCAAGTACCATGGGATGGCTCAAGGTGTGTACGAGTTACTATGGTTGAGAAGATTGTTGAGAGATCTTGGGTTTGGACCCTAGAACCCATGGTTTGTATTGTGATAATAAAGATACAATTGCAATTGCACATAACCCTGTGCAACATGATCGTACAAAGCACATGGAGGTTGATCGACATTTTGTTAAAGAGAAGTTGGATGCTGAAATTATTTATTTTCCGTTTATATCAATCGAGAATCAACTGGTAGATGTTCTTACGAAAGCTGTGTCTACTATGGTCTTTCTCAATTCGCTTGACAAGTTGAGCATGCGTGACATCTTTGCTCCAACTTGTTATGCATAGCGTTGGAAATCAACAATTGATTTAAAAATTCCATATAGACCGCAGACCTCCATTCCCCATCACCATTGATTTCAAATATATTTTAAACTACAAATGAGCAGACAACTACCTTATTCATTCATTCATTCATAGATAAATTGGGAGTAATAGGCGACGAGAAGTGGGCGGTTTGGTTCGTGATTGTCATGGCGAGTTTTGTTAGGTAAAATCTCATTTACCGCAATGTTACTGCTACGTTTGTTGAATGGTGAGCTTGATGGTGCCGTTCCAGTCCTTGGTCGTTTCTTTAGCCATGTCTTCTCCAATCTTCTTCGGGGAGAGACCCAAAAGACTGATCTTGGGCGCGAGTGAACTGGCCACACCAACCTTATCTCCAATGACGCATATGTAGACATCGACCACCTGAGATGAATCGAACTTTGGAGGCATGACTTCTTCTCTAGGTTTTGAGGGGTTAGGGTTTTAGAGGAAGGATGCTGGGGGTAGGGATGGTTTCAAATCTGGGGTGTGAAGGGTTGGGGAAGGGGAAAGTGGATTGTTTGCAGGTGGTGGTTTGAGTTGAGAGAAAAGAGAGGATTTGGTGGTAGGGTTGGTGACGGCCTAAGGAGTTTGGTTGGAATACTGGTTTGTTCTTTTTCTTCTTTTTATTTATTTATTTATTTATTTATTTTTTATAAATAATTTTTTAATATTTTTAATTAACTTAAAAAGTAAAGAATTTTTTACATTTTTTATTACACTTACGCTAAAAAGGTGGACACACGTTTGCCATGTCGTCACTTAACAGAAGACCAAGCGGTCAAATTGACGGAACAGGTAAATTGGTCCAATTTTAAAACGTTAGGGAATAAATTGACAAAATTAAAACCACGTGGTCCATTTCAAGAATGACCCCAAATTTTGAGGGGGTAAAATGATGTTAGTCCTTCTATATAAGTGTTCATGATCTTTCACACAACCTGAAATACATAAAAGACATACCCGCCATCTTTCTGAGTACACGATCTCTAAACTCATTCAATCGCAGCAGCATCAACACTAGCAAAAGACATGAACAGCTCAAGACTTCTGCTCTCTTTGAGACATTATTTCAACTATCTCTTTATGATGAGATTAGGATCAGAGAACGTGTCTGATAAGAGCAGGATCTTAAGCTTATATAAACTAGGTCAAGTCATCTCTACTCATCACCAATGGCCGACTTAACTAACACTCTAGGCCCATCAAGCAACAGTTCATGCAAAAGGAAATAAATAGAACCCTTTTAATTGGCTTTAAAACTTTCCTTATTTCACAAGGTTTTGGGCCTCAAGGTATAATCTAATTTAAAATCTTATCAAACATGATATAACTTAATATCTAGTGCATCGATCTAAATAGGAATATAACAGAGAAATCTATTAATATGAGTCGCATCAATTTGGCACTCATGTAAGTGAACATAGTACTTGACTTGATGATCAAACTGATGGAAGGGATAATGGTGGAGTAATTCTTCAACATGAAGGTCACACTACCATGTGGTGTTATAAATCCACTCATATTACAACATGTGCATCTATACAATAATATTATACACAAAGTTCATGACATATAAACTATGTCGTCCATTCATATTATAAAGCATGTATTATTAACACCAAGTAACGATGTGTGATGAATTTGAGTGTCTAAATAGTTAGGCACACCAAATTTGTTTGGCAAAGTTACATTTATTAAACAAATAGTTAAGACTTTGGTTTTCATAGGGAGATGTAATGTCTTAAAGTTTGTTCCCTTGATTCATTGGGCTGTCATTCTTGACTATACTTGTAGTGGATTTTAAACTAAAATACTACTTGGTGATTGTAGGGGCCTTTTTCTTCTAGAAGTTACAAATGGGCTGGGCTGTCGTAAGGAGCAAACTGAAGAAAATATCCCTTGTGTTTGAGTTTAAAGATCAGACCCCAAAATGTTTCGAAAGGATAGTAAAGCCTTAGGAAACACCTTGGTTACCTTTAGCAACAAAAAGTAATGGCTGTTTACAAATAAATTCTTAGTGCTTACAGGTAGAATCTTAGCTTGGCATGAGAGGCTTGTGGCATGGGAGCAAAGTTGCCATGAGTTTAGCACTAAAGAGAAAATTAAGTGTTCCTAGGGGAAATATGGGGTATTAAGGTAGGAGAGAAAAGGGTTTTGCAGAAAGGTTTGGTTGAGAATGAGGGAAAGAGAGAAAAGAGTGGCTTGAGTGCTTTTCCGACAGCTTGACAGAGGTTCTGTCAAGTGTTAGAACTGCCTGCCAAGAATGAAAGCTAAGGAGGAAGGAGATGAACTAAGCACGAAAATTGTTGGTTTTGAAAGTAAGAGAGGAAGCTTGCTCTCTGGTTGTGGTTGATGTTTGTTGGGTAGAATAGGCCCTATTTATAGCCGTTGGAAGCCATTCTTTTTCCAAGAAACTCTAATGGCTTCCATCCCATTTTGCCAAGTCTTTCCCTTCCTTTCTCCCCTCATCCCTTCAATCATCATATTTTGGTGAAATCTACTCTACTCCTTTGCACAAAATCAGGGATTTTGGGAGCTCAAGGTCCCTTTCCCGCCACTGCCCTAGTGAAGAATTCCTATTTTCAGCCATCCCCTTCCTCTCTTTCCTTCCCTCTTTCATGGTCAGATATGATGAAGGAAAGAAGTGGGTATACATGTTGGTTCGAAGGGTGGCTCCTTGCGCACCAATATCTTTTGGTCCCTTGGATGTTTTGCTTGAAAACTTGTTCCTTCCCTCCCAGCAGCCCTGTGCACGTGGTCTTCCAAGCTCCTTTGTGGCTTTGTCTCTCAGCCAAATGCTGAGGCTTTTTGCTGCTTCTTATTTCTATTTGTATGGGCCTTCTAAGATAACAAGTCAACTTACCAAACAAATGGGCTAATCTCAACAAGTATTGGGCTATATGGGTTAATTTAATGGTCCATTTTAGTTAGGCTATTTTGATTGAGATATTTTCTCTCTTGTGCTGACCCATATGTTTGGGCTTAAGAAATGGGCTTGAGTTCCGAGGCTCCCAAGCAACCTAGAACTTTCATTTTTCGGCCCATTAATGGGCCTCATGATAACTTATTACCATTCATACCACAACCCACTCAAGCAAGCCCTGGGCATTTGAGTGGCTTGGGCCCACCTAAGCTTGTATCGTGGTTAGGTGTGACATAATGATTTCCTGCTTGGCATGACATGTTGCGTGGCATGTTTTTTAATTATGATGCTTGACGGGATAATTAGCATGGATTTGTAGAGCTAACGCATTTTTATAATCTTAATCTCGATTCCTAGCATGATGGATTATTTATTTGGCATTGCACGTAGAGTGTGACTTGTGCGTGGAGGATCTTTGTGTGCTCCAAATTGGGCCTTTTATGAATTAATATGTCATTTTGGGCCAGGAATTTATTCGGGCCCAACTGTGGATTTTTTTGGTTCTCAATAGTGATGAACTCCAACCAAAATTTTCTTCTTGATTACCAATGGGTAAATTTAGTCAATATGGAATTAATAACATTTGTAAGGAATTTTTTTTTATTTTTAATTTGTCCATATTCCAATAGTCAAATTTAGTCTCAATTTGGCTCAGTTGCCCCATATAGACCCTGGCTGAACCAATTGACCAAATCAAAGATGAATTAGTAGAAGGTCATCCCTCTAAGACTAGAATCATGAACTGAATTAAATTGCCAACGTCATGTGTTATTACATGGATGAACTTTTCATTAAATGCATTCGTAACTCTCGCCAAATGTCATCCGTTCGCTGGTCTCTCTTGAAATAAGTACTCCCTCCTACTAAGAGCACCTCTACCTCAAAAAGCAAGGGTAAGGTAAAAGTAAGGCAAGAGTTGACACTATTCACGTAAATAGTGGCAAGCTTTGCCTTTTTTGGTTCCACCCCAAAGGGCAAAGGTAAGGGCAAACACTATTCACTTTACTTTATTTTTTATATTTTTTATACTTAAACCATTAATTTTGATAATCTTTTCAAATAATATTTTCAGTTGCCACGTGTCACTATTATTATTGTAGGGGTTTTTCTTCTTTCGGCAACTATAAATGGGCTAGGCTATCGTAAAGAGCAGATTGATGAAATTATCCCCTGTGTCTGAGTTCAAAGATCAAGCCCCAAAAATGCTTCAAAATGATAGTGAAGCCTTAGGAAGCTCCTTGGTTACCTTCACCAACAAAAATAACAACAGCTTACAGATAGATTTTTTAGCTTGGCATGAGAGGCTTGTGGCATGTAAGTAAAATTGTCATGAGTTTAGCACTGAAGAGAAAGTTATGCTTTCCTGGGGGGAAAAATGATGAATAGAGCACGAATTTGCTGGGTTTTGCAGGTGAGAGAGGAAGCTTGCTATCTGGATGTGGTTGTTTTAGCTAGTGATGAAGTAGTGGGTGTGCTGAGTAGTTTCCGGCAGCTTAACGAAAAAATATGTCAAGCTCTGGAACTTTTTAACAAAAGAAAAAAGAGGAGGAGATAGAGAAATAGGGCACGAAACTGCAGAGGTTTCAGATATGAGAGATGAAGCTTGCTCTCTGAATGTGTGTGTTGAGATGATGGGTAGGAAATGCCTCTTTTTATAGGCACTGGAATCTACTCTTTTCCAAGAAACCCTAATGGTTTCTATACAATTTGGCCAAGCTTTTTCCTTCCTTTCTCCTCCATTCCTTTGACTTATCCTATTTGATGAAATTATCTTTGCCTAATTGCATAAAAACAGGGATTTTGGGAGCTCAATGCTCTTCCCGCAGCTGCCTCAGTGGAGAACTCATATTCCCAGCCATCTCCTTCCTTTATTTCCTTCCTTCTTCCATGGCCAGGTCTGATGAGGGAAAGAAATGGGTATACACATTGGTTCGAAGGGTGACTCCCCTCCTAGCAATCTGCGCGCCAATACCCCTCAGTCCTTTGGATGATTTTGCTTGAAACTTGTTCTCCCCCATGTGATGGAGCTTCCCAGAAGCTCTGCATACGTGGACATCCTTGCTCTCTTCGTGGCTTTTGTTTTTCAACCAAGTGCTGAGGCTTTTGTAGATCTTTATTTTAGTTACATGGGCCTTCTAAGACAATGAGTTGGTTTATCAAATAAAAGGGCTAAGCTTATAAAATGTTGGGCTATTTTGTTTGAAGTAATGGACTATTTTCTCTTTTATGCTCACCCACATGTTTGGGCCTAAGAAATGTGTTTGAGTTCCAAGGCTCCCAAACAACCTGGAACTTCCATTTCTTAGCCCATCAATGAGCCTTATGACAATTCATTACCATCCATACCACAACCCACTCAAGCAAGCCCCAGACATTTGAGTGGCTTGGGCCCACTTAGGATTGTAGCATGGTTGGGGTGTGAAATAATGATTTCCTGTTTGGCATGGCATGTCGTTGACGTACTTTAATTTTATGGGACTTGAAGAGGGACACGATGCTTAATTAGCATGGGCTTGTAAAGCCAGTGTATTTTATAATCTTTATCTCAATTCCTAGCATGACGAATTATTTATTGGGCATAGCATGTGGATTGTGACTTGTGCATGGCGGACTTTCGCGTGCTCCAAATTGAGTCTTTTCTTAATAAGGTGTCATATTGGGCCGAGAATTTATTCGGGCCCAACCGTGGATTTTTTGGGTTTCAACAATTATAAAGTTACAATAAATTGGAAATGCAAGAAAAAAAAATTATGCAAGAAAATATAAACAAATTGGAAATACAAGAAGAAAAAAAGTTACATTAAATTGAATAGGCCATTTGTTTTGGGTAATGATTTCCCCACTCTAATTTTATCCACTTAAACGCCTTTTTTAGTTATAAAATGGAGTGTAAGTGGATAAAATTGGAGGAAATCAGCACTTTTTGTTTTTTGATACAAATGAAAAATGAGAGTGGGAATTAAAAAATATTGAAATGAGAAGAGTTTGTACGAAGATTTAGTGTGGAAAGTGAATAGAATTGATAGGTATTTATAGGGAAAAAATCCATAATTTTTTTTGGTATTTTCTATAAAAATAAAAAATAAAAATTCAAAAGGTGTCGAATTTCTGCAAAAAAAATCGATCAGAGCGTTTGGGAAGCGCCACGTGGCTTCTTCCCGTTGGGGGTTGTAAAAAACTTGATTTTCAGCCGTTGACGTCAGTGTGACGTCACGGCTGACGTCAACAACTTCAGGCAAGAGCCCATTCCAGAATTACCCTTGGGCTTGCCTAGGTTGGTGGATCCTATGACTTGCCTGGGCTTCCTTTTGCGTGCTGGAGGTCCAACTCTGGCCTTGGGGGGCCTGTTGACCGGGTTAGCGTGCTGCGCTGCACTTGCTCTAAGTAGCAAGCAGCAGCAACATAAATTGGTATCATGAACATATTCCACCAAAAGAGAAATGGGTATCAGAAATTTTACCAAATTGGTACATACAAAGGGCCATAGGGAGGCAAACATAAATAACATTTCTTCCATTACAAAATTGATATAAATAGAATCTTGGTTCCAAAAGGTAAATATAAATTGAATCTCTTGGTCACGAAACTCCCTAGTCTAGCAGCCACGCCTGAAACTATCAATTCACTTCACTCTGTGCTCTCTCTGACGCATTATCAGCTTCTCAACAATGGCGGCCATTGCTCCACCCTCCTCTTCCTCCTCAAAACCCTATCCTTTCCCTGTTTCTTCCAAATCCTCAAAACCCATTTCCAGATTCACCCTCCCCTTCTCTCCTCATCCCCAAAAACCCACTTTCCTCCGCCACCAAATCTCTAACTCTCTCTCCTCCAAGACCGCCACCACCACCATCACCACCACTAACCCTCCAGACCCAGAAACCAAAATTTCCCGATTTGCCCCTGACGAGCCCAGAAAAGGCGCCGACGTCCTCGTTGAGGCGCTCGAGAGGCAAGGCGTGACCAATGTATTCGCCTACCCTGGCGGCGCGTCCATGGAGATCCACCAAGCCCTCACGCGCTCCTCCACCATCCGCAACGTCCTCCCGCGCCACGAACAAGGCGGCGTTTTTGCGGCAGAGGGCTACGCGCGTGCGTCGGGACGTCCCGGCGTGTGCATTGCAACCTCCGGGCCCGGCGCAACAAACTTGGTCAGCGGACTGGCCGACGCGCTCATGGACAGCATTCCGGTGGTGGCAATCACCGGCCAAGTTCCCCGAAGAATGATCGGTACGGACGCGTTCCAGGAGACCCCTATTGTTGAGGTAACAAGATCAATCACCAAGCACAATTATCTTGTTCTTGATGTAGAGGACATTCCTAGGGTTGTTAGTGAGGCCTTTTTCTTAGCTACCTCGGGTCGACCCGGCCCCGTCTTGATTGATATACCCAAAGATGTGCAACAACAGCTTGTGGTTCCCAATTGGGATCAACCCATTAGGTTACCTGGGTATATGTCTAGGTTGCCCAAGACCCCCAATGAGGATCATTTGGAGCAGATTGTGAGGTTGGTGTCTGAATCCAAGAGACCAGTGTTGTATGTTGGTGGCGGGTGTTTGAACTCCAGTGAGGAGTTAAGGCGGTTCGTGGAGCTTACTGGGATCCCGGTTGCCAGTACTTTGATGGGTCTCGGGGCATACCCGTGCAACGATGAAGAATTTTCACTCCAAATGCTTGGAATGCATGGGACTGTTTATGCTAATTATGCTGTGGATAAGTCTGATTTATTGCTCGCATTTGGGGTGAGGTTTGATGACCGTGTTACCGGGAAGTTAGAGGCCTTTGCTAGTCGGGCTAAGATTGTCCACATTGATATTGATTCGGCAGAGATTGGAAAGAATAAGCAGCCGCATGTGTCGGTTTGTGCTGATGTCAAATTGGCGTTGGAAGGATTGAATAGGATATTGGAGGGGAAAGAGAGCAACGTCCAACTTGATTTTTCAGCTTGGAGGGCAGAGCTGAAAGAGCAGAAAGTGAAGTTTCCATTGGGTTTCAAGACTTTTGGAGAATCCATTTCTCCCCAGAATGCCATTCAGGTTCTTGATGAGTTAACTGATGGGAATGCGATTATAAGCACTGGTGTTGGGCAGCACCAAATGTGGGCAGCTCAGTTTTACAAGTATAAGAGGCCTCGCCAATGGTTGACATCTGGGGGATTAGGAGCTATGGGTTTTGGATTGCCTGCTGCTATTGGGGCTGCCGTTGCAAACCCGGATTCCATCGTTGTTGATATCGATGGTGATGGAAGTTTCATTATGAATGTCCAGGAACTGGCCACCATCAGTGTAGAGAAACTTCCCATTAAGGTTTTGCTGTTGAATAATCAACATTTGGGTATGGTTGTGCAATGGGAGGATCGCTTCTATAAGGCTAACAGGGCTCACACTTACTTAGGGAACCCATCAAATGAATCTGAAATATTCCCGAATATGCTGCAGTTTGCAGATGCTTGTGGGATACCGGCTGCCCGTGTGACGAAGAAGGAAGATCTTAAAGCAGCAATTCAGAAAATGTTGGACACTCCCGGTCCGTACTTGTTGGATGTAATCGTACCCCATCAAGAGCATGTCCTGCCTATGATTCCAAGCGGTGGTGCTTTCAAAGACGTGATAACTGAGGGTGATGGGAGATCAAGTTATTGATTTCTTGGCCAGCATCCGTTTTTCACGCTTAAGAGTGTAAGTTAGAGGTGTACTTAAAAAAAATCTTTAGTTTTTCTGCTAGTGTTAGTTTGAACAAGTTCTACTTTGAGTAATTATGAAGTATGTTTTGAGTTCCTTAGCTTAAAGTTATGTGTTGTGTCTGCTATCTCGCGTTTCACTTATGTCAATTCAATTTTATACAAGTATCGTTCAATTTTTTTTATGTGTTTATTTTGTTTGGCCAGTGGAATTGACAGAAACCACAAACAGAAGATGACAGACCATGGTTGTTAAGGTCTCCTTTAAAGCAATTTTTTTTCTTTTTTTGAATTAGATTTCAGGAATCGAATGACATAGGAGTTTTGGTTGCTTGGCCAAAATCCAAAGAGTTGTCTTCTACCCAGGAAAGAATAAAATAAGACCAGTAGTTTTTAAATGAACATACGCGTTCTTCACGGTACAACCACTTAGGTAGATATTTGATTTTTGCTGAATTAGTACCTTGTTACCTCTAGATATGGGGCCATGTGGAGAGTTTCAAACTTTCAAGTTCTGGTCCCTACTTGTAGTTCCTACTTATATGCCAAATCCTTGAACCATTAATCCAACTCTATCCTTCGGGATCTTAACACAGGGAAATTGATCATGCAATGATGCTATTTATACGGATCTAAATTACTCAGTTTTTCTCCATACCTTTATTCACGGATAGATTTTCGATATCGTATTATCATTGTCAATAACATGTCAATAACAAAATGTCCTTAACGTGTTATCAATCCATTACCATAACATGTCAATAACAAAATGTAAATAACATGTTATCGATCCATTATCGACAATATATTCACCATGGAGAATTTCTGCTAAACGAGTCGCATCTTTTGATGGCTTTTCTGAAATGATCTTAATTTATTTTCTTAAAAACTAAAGTGAGTTTGACTCTTTCAAAGCTTTCATAACATGTCCAGTCCTCACCCAGTTGAATTCTAGAATCCAAATCCCCAATATGAGATAAAGGGCAGAATATATGAAGCATGTCTTCGTTCCTTTCTTCAGGCCTTCGGCAACATCCATTAACCTAACTTGCTGAAATAAAATGGAGCTCAGTTTAATACTTTAGGTGTTTCCTATGGGTTTCTTGCATTCAAATGTCTAGACTAGTTAATGTCTTGTCCAAATCTCGGCACAGTTTCAGTTGTCCCAGCCAGAGACATTACTAGCAAATACAACCATAAAGATCATGCAAACTCAAGCAAAACTCAAAACAGCCCTAGTTCTATCGGATCCTGGACATTGGTAGCAAATACCTAATTCATAAAGCAGAATTTGGAATAGCCCCAGTTCTACCGACCCAGAGAACCGGTTGGGTCTTGAAGATGGGAGATACAAGGTGCCTGCTAATTTGGTTAACATGCATAAGCTTAATCAACACAGCCCATCAAATTCAGCATTTCATTATCATTTGGCCATTATCATCCTGGCTGCTCTGTGTTGGTTAAAGAGCGCCACAAAAAGTTGGTAAACCAAATCCAGGGCATCAAAATTTAAATTGAAAGAAAAAATATGCGGTCTCAATTATGGAAAACTAGAAAATGCATGTATCATGGTTTTACAGAAATAAAGCAAACGTATCTCAAAAGGAACCAAATGAGAACTAAAAGCTACTGCTTTCTTAGTGAATTCAAGTTGCTGCATCTATCATCTTTCTAACTTCAGCACACGACCTGCAATCATATAAAAAAGAAAAATCAGTCAACAATCCAGATTTTACTCTACAACCAAAGATAAGAACTAGTTATTAAAACCCTACTATCTAAAAAATTGTAGTAAAATGACACTAATATCAATAGACATTACTAAATCCACAAAACATTTAACAAACGAAAATCGTTCAAGACAGATGGATATTGTTCAAGTTTGGTTGCGCATGTAATCAATGCTTGAGTTAACTGCGCTGGGTTTGATATCCAACTCTATGATATACGCATGAGGCAGTAGAATACACCACAACATGGTAAAGCCAGAACTCAAACTTCTCAATCATGCCACAAGAAGAAAATCTTCCTATTATAACATCCCCTAATCTACATAGGAAAAACCAATGGCCAATTACCCCAAACCCTAGAATTACTCATAATGTGATGAACACTCAAAAGTTCAAACCCATGCGCCAAAAACCTAAACCAAAACTTGATAAGAATTTCAAAATTAGAGACCCTTTGAAACATATTGTATATGCCAGCTCCATATTTTGGATTCGTTCATAAAATTGAACAAAAAACACAATTTCACATTCAATTTTGCAAGTGCCCAAGACAAATTGATCTGAATCCTAATATCCAAAGACTCGTATTTAACAAAAAAAAACATAATTCAAATGAAATTCTTGGTAAAATTACGGACAAAAAATCAAGTAGACATCAAATGCATGCAAATTAATCTCAATAATTCAATCAATGAATTCGATCAGACGAAGATTCAGATATAATTCCATACCTAAACAGATCCAACAATGATGTTGTTGATGGGGATGAAGATCAGCTTCACGAAGAACCCAACGAATCCCATCACTACGAACCCGATCGCTGTACGGAGCGCGACCTTCGTGAACTCTGCACCACAATTGACCATCAAATCCATCAATTACAGATAACAGAACCAAAAACCCTAATTTCTATAAAACCCGATCTGGAATAACACAGATCTGAATATTTATACGTATAAGTTACCCTTGCGATCAGGCTTGTGGCACCGCTTGACGAGCCGAATGCTGTCCTTGGAGAACTCTCTGAGCGGATCCACTACTGAATCTATGGCGTCCATTTTCTCTGAGCAAATTGGGTGAGAGAGAGAGAGAGAGAGAGAGAGAGAGATGTAGGAAACGGAGACGTAGTCGAAGACAAAGTTAAGAAGCGTTTAGGACAGTGGTCAAAAATGGAGGGTTTTTATTTGTTTTCAAAGCTTCATTGAAAATTCAAAGGGGCCCAATTTGGAAAGAAAATCGTCCGAAGTCGGCCCAAATACATAGAGTGGCCTTTAGCCTAAGGCAACAATTGCATAAGCCCAAACAGAGAAAATCTTGAAGCCGTTCGAACACAACGTAGACGACGAGTGATCTTTGGTTACCATGAATGAGAGAAAATGAGAGAATTAATAAAAAATAATTAATGAGAGAGGAAAGAAGTTAAAAATCTTAATTAAAATGCTTTTAGAATTTTGTTCTGAATGCATAAATAAATAAATAAATAAAACTTAATTTGAGAAATCTAGTACATATGAACGCTTGAAAGTTATAAATTTCATATGCCAAAAGTTGTGTAATAACTCGTGCACTCTTGCTTCTGTTTTATGTTCTCCCCTTCCCTTTTCTTGCAAGATGGCGCATTCTCCCCCGATTTCTGACGTTATTTTTGTCTTCTTCTTTTTTTAAGTGAAGCGTGCGACTCTTAAGTAGAGATATCGTATATCATACGAATTAAGATTTTAACCTAACTTGATTTTACCTTCTGGAATTATGAATTGTTGGTATGATCGGTCCTTACTAAGAATGATTGTATTACAACCATTTGAAAGTGAAGGAGCCAACTGTAGGAATCTCACTTCAAGCAGCTGCTGTGTTGTATGTGTGTGGTTGTATTCCGCATAGAACTAATTGTTTAGTGAAAAAAGATAAGAGCGAAGAGCTGTTGCCTATGCATATATCATGAATATTAGTGATCAAATATTATCTTTTTATTTCCCTTTTTAAACATATTATAACAAGATTTACCGTCAACAAGGAGGGACCCTTAAAAACATGAATATCAAGTCATTTGTTAACTTTTTTTATTTATTTTCTGAACCATTTGACACCAATATTGAATTTCCACGAAGTTTCAAACCTACCAACTAAGGTTTGACCCATCATCTTCCTCTGTGCTGAAAAATTCTCATCTTCCAAGACTCATCGGACCAGTGAAGGTTCTGCTCTCTAGTCCCTTTCAACCAGCGCTTCAAGGAACCTTCATACCGTAAACTTCAACCATATCAAAAGAAATAAAAAAATATTATTAGACTCTTCAAACTCTGAACTTATTATTCTATTACTCTTCGAGGCAGAGACGCTATATAAATCTGCCTTAAAATAATGCATTCTGAAACTGAAATGTAGGTCAGTGTACGGCAGCTCATCTTTTCTTAAGATTTTCCCACTAAATTATTCCAATCAAGCAACAACTCAATCAGAGACTTTGTCCATTTGTAAGCTTTTAAACAAGGGATCTCCATGCGGCATCTCTGTATATACACCCACCTCTCTGTCTTTTGAAGCATTGGTTACAATTACAATAGTTTTGAGCAGAAAAAGTTTTCCTTTTGGTTTCTTCTGCAATTAGATCTAATTTGAGTTGTGCCCAATTGAGCCAAAAGAATGTCTAAGAATGTTGAGCAACACATTGTCAGCGGTCAGAAGACTCAGAGTGGTTAAAAATTCACTCTTGCTTGCATCTCAAGCTTTCTCATTCCCCAGACCCACAGAGCTCAGCTTGTTTCAGTCTTGTGGGTTTTAGAGGGGAGTTTTCAATTACAAGCCATAAAAAGGGTATGAATTTAACACCTTTTACTATCTGGGTTTGTTTGTTTCTCAATCTCAAATGACTATGTCTTGGGATTCGTGTCATGATTTTAGATCTATGGGTATTTTAGATGTGATCTGCACGTTAAAATGGATATATGTCTTGGGATTCGTGTCATGATTTTTGGGCCTTACGCTTGTCTTCATGCCTGAATCTGTTTTGTTTTCAGTTTCCTCTATTTGTCCAATTCCTAGTGGTTTTTTTTCTAGTTTCTTAGTACCCAATGAACTAAATAGTTTTGAATCTTGATCTTCTTTCTTCCATTGTCCTTGGCATAGTTTCTTTCATTCTTAAATCTTTCTGCTCAAAGCCACTTTGTAAGCATTAGAGATTTTAGTGGTGTTTTGGCTAAAGTCTTTTACATACCAAAAAAACTCTGTTTTTGCTCCTAATCTTGTTATCAAAAGTTTGATACTTGTCTGAAAAGCCCTTAAACAAATCTTCTCTGTCTCTATGAGCAGTGGTGAGAATTGGAATTGATACTATGGGGAGGAACACTGGTGAAATTGTTACACACGCAGGCTCTGAGGTAAGTGCTGATAAATCAAGATCATTTTCTTCATTTACTGCAAGTATTATGATCATACAATTTGTAACAATCTTAATGGTAATATGTTTTTCTTTTAAAATAGGCCATGACGAAAGGAGATGGTCAATTGAAAAAATCCCTTTTTGCTTCTATTTACAAACCACCAATAGATGATGGGAGACCAAGAAGCATGGTTATTAAGGTAAAACTTGAACCCTCTCAAAACCTCTTTTCTCATATTTGACTTCAGATATCTCAAATAAATCTGTATCTGATTTGAGTTTGCTTGCTTTGCTTGGTTAAACTTGGAACTACAAAACAGAAAGCACACAATATGATTCCTCCTCACATTGTAGCTGAAGCCATATCAACACTCCATGGTGATGGTGTGGAGCTCAGATTTTCGGGCCCTATTACTCCAACAGAAAGGGAATATGTTGAGCAGTATGTGTTGGCAAAGTACCCACAATATGCTGCGCTTGTTGAAGGAGAACAGTTTGATCTCTCTAGTATTTGCATCATTGAAGAATCTACTGAGACCATGCCTGATGATAAGAGGAAATCACCGAGGGGTAGTTTGAAGTCACCTAGGGAGTCCGCAACACAATTTTCCGGGAGCAACCTGCCTGACTTGGACAGGACTCAGTTGGAGCCATCGAGGTTGCTTGACATCCTCACCAAGAAATCCTCCTTCCCCGGAAGCTTCATCTCGATCCCCGAGATACAGGCTCAAAACAAGGTCTTGAAGCACTGTGGATTGACTGATGATGAGTACCTTGTTCTCTTCACCCCAACCTACAGGGATGCCATGGTGTTAGTAGCAGAGAGCTACCCTTTCTTCAAGGGAAACTATTACTTGACCATTCTTGGGGAACAAGACTGCATAAAGGAGTTTGCCGGTTACAAGGAATCCAAAGTGATTTTGGCACCAGAGACTTGGTTGGATTTGAGGATCAAAGGCTCACAATTAAGCCAGTATTTCAGGAAGAAAAGTAAGCTCAAGGTCAAAGGGTTGTTCTCTTATCCAGTTTTTGCAAATGGGGTTCATCACTCACTACATTGGGTTTCCGAAGCTCACCGGAGCTCGTGGCATGTTCTTCTTGATGCAACCGAACTGGTTTTTGGGACGGATCACTTGAATCTCAGGCTTCACAGGCCTGACCTTGTTCTGTGTAGCATTGACAATTCTCATGGCCAGACTTCAAAGATCACTTGCCTCTTGGTCAGGAAGAAATCCTTTGACACTTCAATGCCTTAGCCTCAAGTCAATGAATGAGGGCTCTTTGTGTGTTTATGTACAATATGTTAAACGGTTCTAAGAAACATCAGTAAGCAGTAACATTTTTTTTAACTGTGGAAAAGGGAAGATGAACACGAACATGGGCGGATATAATCACTAAATTGACATTTTAATTGATCGAAGTTCAATAAAACTTGTGAATGTTGTGAGTTTCTGAATATATACATGCTGCACTTGAGTTCTCATCTCTGCAACTATTTTTTGTTCAGATTGGTATTTCATTCTTAGTAAACATTTTTGGCTAATGTACGTAATTTATATGCAACTTTCCTTTCCTGCATCTTTGTTGTACAAGCTTTTGAAGCGAGTAATTGGCAGTTAACATTTGCATTGGATGCTTCTTTAACCATTTCCAAAAACCGAAATTGGAACCGTGTTGAGGTTGCCAGTAAAATGAGCTAAACTAATCCTGGCCATTTATGTTAAAAAGAAACGAAAAGACACATGGAATGAGGTTCTAACTTGGTAAATTAAAGCCGAGGAATGCCTATGCAGGTTACATAACATAATAACGCACATTATGTACCTCACATAGGAAAATATGTAGTGGGAAATGAAACTTGCCAAGGATAAGAACATGACCACGCTTGTCTGCTTATCAAATAACTCACAAAAGAGTGCGAGAAGCACCAAATGCAGGACAATAGAATAGGAATAATCCAGGGCCCCTGGAAGTATAAATTAGTTCCTCCAAGGTGCACAAAAATTTGGCATCTTGTCAGATGCGATCATCAAAATGAAATTCAAGAGATTCAGGAGATCACATTAAGTTGGTCAAGCAGCATGGTTTCTTTCCACTTTATGTTAAGAAAAAGAAAGAGAACAACTTCATACTGAGTCTACTGGTACTATCCCTTAGTGTGTTTATGTACATTGAGATCACATATAATTTACTCTGACCAGTCTCAACAAGAACTCCAAAGGTTCATTTTGACAACCATTATGTTACATCCGCCGATATACAACAAAATGGGTACATAGTTTGGATAGTTAACCCACCTTTGGAGGTTGATTTTCCACCTCATGTTCCTGAGAAGGGAAAAATAAGGAATATAAAATAAGGAAATGCCAATGAAAGCTAAGGACTTCTAGGGAACAAATTGCGGCAGAAAGATTTTTGCTAACCTAGAAATAATATCCTATGCATTAAGCATTCAAAAAAGAAAGGGCCACAAACACATACACACAGAGAGCGAGAGGGAGATCTTAACCTCAGGAAGGACTTTAGCTTGAGAGAGAGAACTAAGTTGGCAGCTTTCCATGTTTTCGAGTAATTGGATTACAGTTTGCAGATGAGGAACACTGAAAAATTTATAAATGTTATCAGTAACAGAATCATATGAGCTTATATTTCTTAGAGGAGATATAACAACAAAAACATATGATGACACATCACAACTGTTAATTAAAAATATTTCTGATCTCATGAAAAAAAGTTGCTGCAGGCAAGGTGCTGATGTATGTAACTGTATGCCACAAAAGTATTGTGAAAACGAAGCCTACATGACTACAACCTTTGTAACCCCACTTTCCATATGTGCATCCAGAGATGAAACTACTCGAGGCATCTGCTCCAACAACTGCATAAAAAGGAACGGAATACAAGATGGGAAAATGAAATTTACATGGAATGTTAATAGTCAAGATCATCTTGGTGAAAAGAAACATACTTGTCCGGTATGCTTGATTGTAGATGTTTTGACCAAAAGGTTCTTTGGAAGCCTTATCAGTTGGGCCTGCATAAGAGACGAGATCAGAAATATAATAGGCCAGTGAGGCGAGGTCAATTTATGCTATTACACACATACTGCATAGTGTCTAATTACCTCATGTACCCAAATAATAAGATAAAAATTAAGGGTGAGAGTGAGTAATTCACCTTGCATTGGGACATATAGATATAGTTATATTACATGCCAGGAAAGTTGCAACAAGAATTTTCATGAGAGTAATCTAATTGATAACTAAGGGTATTCAAATATTATGATAACGGTGAAACGTGAATCATACCAAAAGCATGGATTTAGAAGAGTTACAGTGTCAGGCGGCATAGAAAAGTATAAGCAACCCTACCATATATAGAGACACAGTTTTACTGACCTTAGTAGTTATTTACCTTCTCATTTCTTATTCCTTTTGAAACATATTTCCATCTCTAACAACTCTATGCAGATTTTGACAAAATTTAGAATGAAGACTATCTCCAAGATTACAGCTTGCAGCTTCCTAATAAGAACTAATGCACCTCCACTCCAATCAGCCATCCCAGTGTGTTTATTATATCATCACAGTTTCAACACCAAGTCATGGTAGGCCACGCACCCTCACCACCAACTAGAAGATAATTAACAAATTTTCAAAAGCAAGGAAATTCTGATTCCCTACTAAAGAAACCTGCTTATATCTACCCCACTCCTGTTTCACCAAAAATGTCCTAATAACACAGCCTCCAGAAACTCTTGCATTTCCTGCACATTCTAAATAAGCATTTCAGTCTTCCATTCATCCATCCACTATTTGTATCAGTTTTACAATCCTTCACCAGGAAGAATGTGTCTGATAATTTGGACATCAATTTCTAGTATTTCAGTTCTTTAGTGTTCAGATACGTGTCCATGACCACATTCCTTTTCTTCACATTTTTTATAACAACATTTCTGTCTCAAAAAATTGTACTATCTTTGAAGTAAAATACCTGAGCCACATAGGAATCTCCTTCAAATTTTATGTTTTTAATACATTTCCCCTATTTTTTTCCTGATTAATCTTCATTTTACCAATCAAATCAGCCTCCACACCTGGGATAACAAAAATAATTCTCTCTGTAATACAATCGCCCTCCCCAAATTTAACCAAAACCCAGTTCCCAAATTGATTTTATATTGAAATTTTTTGTTTTAAAAAAAAGGCCAAAGAAGACCCATTAAATCACTATTATCTTCTCCGACATGCATTTCTGATAGAAAATCTGAAAAAATAAAAGGTGGGAAACAGAGAGTAGGAGGATGCCTGGGAAGGAGAGGATTGTTGCATGAGGTGGAGGAGGTTGGAAGTGGACAGTATGGCCTGAGAGATCTGATCAGACACCAGGGCTTTTGCCGTATTCCCTCTGCTGCTTCTACCTGCGGTTGAGCTCGCCATTCTTCTCACTGTTCCTAGCTCTCGGAAGCGTGTTTTTATTTTATTTTTGAGAATTTAGCTAAAATAGCCCAACTTCACAACTTTTGTTCCAAATTAGCCAACATTGCATTACGAGGCACTATGACACCAAGACCTTTATTTTTTTTAGGTAATGGCGATGAGCTCGAAAGCGTCGTACAAATATATTTTTTTTTTTTTTTTTTTTTTTTTTTTTTTTTATATATATAAATATATCTAAATCTAAATCTAATCTGTAATAAAGGGGATTCGAACTTAGGTTGCAAGGGGGTCGATTTCACCGCCTGACCAACTAATTACTAGCCTAACCCATGTCTACAAAAGAGTTGCATTTTTACTCAGCTATGTCATCCAGACATAATGAATTTAGCCACAACTAATTATCAAACTCATTACCATCCATGTGAACGAAATTTGAGACCGTCTCAAATCAAGTGGAGAAAAATAACACCAAAAGAGTTTAATAACATGCATATGGATGGTTAGCTAAAGGCCACTTTAGTTATTTATTTATTTATTTTACTTAAACTGATTTTCAGTTACCACATTTTCTAGAGTACTGCTATTTCCTATGTCCTATTTCCTCACCCATCTTATCTTTCCACCTATCATGTAAATTTGAAAAAAACATAATCTTGTCCTAGTGTCGGAGGTGTGCTTAGGCATGTAAGGGCCTTAACCCTCCTAAAATTATGAAATACTATATATTTTGGGCTTTGCATTGGACAACTTAGGATAATATATATTAAAATAATGCTTGTGACCCCCCACAATAAAGAGAAGGAGTGATTTACGTTTCCCCCTCCAAATAAAATGTTATTTCCTTAGCAAAATGACTAAGTTACTCCTAGATCCCACCAACATAATTAATAAAAGGCTTATTTATGGATATGCCTTATGGGCTTTCAAAATAGTCCCAGATTACCACATGTTCTTTGAAATGTCTAAATATACCACCTATACTTTCAATAAGTGTCTCACGTTAACTATTCCGTCAGATTTGAGAGAAGTTCTATTAGTTGATGTGGCCCCCACTTCTTTTCAATCTCTTAACAAGGGAGATGAAGGGTTAGTCAAGTTGAGAAAATGAGGAATTTGGGAGAAAAGGGTCCATGAAGTTTGCATCCGTGCTAACTTCCCACAATGACATTGTTGGCCATGCCTTGCTTCTCCAGTTTCCATGTCTTCTTCAATTCTGTCAGTATTCACACAGAGAAGAAGCAGCTTTCAAGTGCAATGAACCCAATTCAAAGATTCGAGCACTTCTTTCAAGTGGAATGAATCCTATTCCTTCTCCCAAATCTGAAATCCCTGAATCGAATTCCCATTTTCTTCCAAATGTGAACCTCTGGATTCCCAAATCTGAAATTCCCTCAACCTTCCCTTCTTCGCCCAAATTCCCCCTTTTTCTCCCAAATTCCCTCTCTCTAGACGTCCATTCTTTTTTTTCAAATATTCTTAGCTAGATACCATTTTGCCCCTACATTTAACAAAAAAGTTAACAAAATTGACGACATGACCATTGTCCTAACGAAAAGTTGAAGGACCACGATAACAATTTTGAAAATTAAGAGATTCAAATGCAAATCAGGTCTAAATTCAGGGACTAATAAAACGATTAATCCACTAATGAATAAATTAAGATTCAAAGAAATATGTTTGGTTTTTTTTTTCTAAAGATGGTGCATTGGAATATTTCAAAATTCCCCTTTTAATGATACAAAACAAGGAACGTAGAGATTGTCATTACCAAATTTGTACTTTTTCCTATATGTCGAGTTTTCATCATCATCAACACACTGTAGAACTTGGAAATTAATTAGATGACTTACTATATTAGATTTCTTTGACATTAAAACAACCCAACCCATTTGATCCTATAAATATAGCCCAAAGGGCTCACTTACTGTAGTGAAAAGCAAGCTTGTCATTCACATCGACCCAATGTGACAATAATAAAAAAAAGAACGAACCATGGAGAAAGCCCCATCTAAGATTGCTCTGAACTCGCTCGTCTTCTTCTTGGTTGTGGCAGGTGTATCATTATTCTCAATGTTGCCAGGAGGAGCAGAAACCACCATACTTGTTAAATGATGTTCTACTAACGATGACTGCAAAGCGTTTCCATGTACTCAAAGCTCTGCACATGCCAAGTGGCCTATATTATTGATGACTCGGTTGGGATCATACAACAAAATGAAAATGGGAAATGTTCGAGTGTGACCGACTGCAAAGGAATTGTATGTATAGATGCAACACTCGAATGTGTTAATGGGGTATGTAAATGCGTACGCACGCATTGATAAAAAGTTTCTTTTGTTCTCCTAGGCCATAACTAAAGCTACACAGTTGGTTATGTGACACTGATCTCTCTCTAAAGAATAATAATAATAAATTGTGCCGAGCGCTGCCAAGCCACCCTTGAAACCACTCAGGTGCACTGTCCGGATCACTGGGGGCCGAAAGTATGATCCCTACTTCGCTGCTGGAGTCGCTAAAAATTCTGCAGAAACAAGAATATTTCCTTCACAAACCCATGAAGGATGCAGAATATACAATAAGTTTTAGTTACAGTTCTTTCCAGGAGTTTTGTAAAGGTTAATATTTCAGAAGAGATATGTTGTAACTTGTTTGGTTGCTGTGAAATGATAGCAAAAGAGAAAGAACAAAGCAGCTTGTTTTTCTGTTCTATTATCCAATACAAATCTTTTACCAGAGTAGCATGAGTAGGCACATTGACTAGTTGTGTGCATTTCATGCATGAGGCTTCTCTGGTAGCTCAGACCATAGATGTTCACTAATTTTTCTTACAACTACAGAGAAAACAAGACATCTGAAAATTTAAGATTTCTATAATAAATTTTTTTACATACAGCAGTGCCTTTCAAAAGAACCAACAAATTTGAACCATTGAAGCATGAAGGGCCAGGACCACTGACAATTATTCTTTGTAGGTTTTCCCCTATTCCGACTGATACTGATACAAAATATGAATATCATATAATTCCATGCCGATTACATTATTATTTCCAGCCATGAATTTAACAAATGACATAACAGATAAAAGAAAAAACCCTCATACTCAAAGGTGTGCCTTGGAAAATTCAAAATCTTAGCCACTCTAGCATCTCTGCACCTAGGAATACCATTAAATCAAGTAATCAATGACAGACCAGAACTTTGTATCTCAAAATTTACAACTTAGAGGATATGCACAGTTGCGCACAGAGAGAGAGAGAGAGAGAGAGAGAGAGAGACTCTGTTAAAGGCCGTTCAGGTATGTTTAAGTATAAAATGGGTTCTCTGTTCTGCTTGTTCAACTATTTTATAATTTTTAGTTTTATTATCAGACCCTAACAATAAGGGAAAACCCTTAAATTTGTGAAACACAACTGAGTTGAAACTCAAGCAAATGCCAACACAACAATTTACTTTTAAAGCAAAGTTTAGTTCATCAAAATTTTAGAAAGGTGCATTGACATTAGCTAACAATCAATGATTATTGACTTGTAAACTTTAACACAACTCTAATAAAAAAAATAAAAAATCATGGCAATCAACTCAAGACTTGAAATAAAACATAAATTCCCTTCTCTTCATAAGAGATAAACTCCATTGATGCGATACTTACAAGTTCCAACAGATTTCCAAAGTTTAGTGCTTAAGTTTAAACTACCCTGAAAAATTAATCAAGGCAATCAACCCTGAAGACAGCAGAGATATAATTTACCTATACATTTCAAGGCAAAGCAATAATTCTACATTACATATATCTCGAACCTTGCTAAATGGTGGCAGCCTTGATAGCTCTCTGCAATTCAGATTCCAAATCACTAGCAGAATCGGTGGACTTTTTCGCCTCTGTTCTCGCATTCTCTTCTCTGACTTTCTTCTTGTTTCTCCACTGTTCGAACCCGCCAGAAGTCTCATCCAAAGGAGGTGAAACTCTCTTCCCAACAGAATCACTCTCCCCTCTAAAATGCTTCCTAGAAACTCCCGACTTCATCTCCTCCAACCTGTGCTTCATCTCCTTATTTTCCTTCTCCATGACCTCCAAATCCCTTCTCATCCAAAAGCACATCCCCTTTAACAATTCCAAATCACCCACATTACTACTATCAGTACCCTTCTCCTCCTCTGCCCTTAACTCCTCAACTCTCTCAATACCGATTTTATTAAGTGTTAAATACGGCATTGCTTTGCCAAACTTTGGTGGAAGATTCACACCCCATCGCATATTCACCACCACACTTTTTGTCACTGGCAACACAGTCCTTGCCATCACAGCAATTCCAGAAAAAAGCCCATCTTTCCCACCCTTTTTCCAAGCCAATGGCTTCTCTGCCACAGACCCACCATTCAAATGAGCTCCACAATTATCCCTAAATTCACTGTCCACAGCCCCATTTTTGCCACCGCAAGGCTCCAACCTAAGCTCCTGCCAAACAGATGACCCTTCAGAGACAAACCCATTATCAAAATCACCATTTGAAACGGACCCAGAATCTAAATGGGCACCAACATTGGAGGCAGACCCAGAAATCTGTTTAAAATTAGGGTCTGAAAATGCGGTTTGTTTTAGGGAAAAGTTGCCAAATTGGGGCTTGATGTGGAGAGAGAAACTGGGGTTTGTGTGTGAGAGAGAGAAATTGGCAGTGAAAACAAGAGGGGAGTTTTTTGGGGAGCCAAAGAGGCCAAGACCAGACTTGAGGGAGAGAGAGAGAGGAGAGGGTGTGGTAGAGGTGTGAGAGTAAGAAAGTTTGACAGAAGGCCCGGAAGAGAAATTGGATGACAGAGAAAACGAGAGGTGAGAAGAAGAGTTGGTGGGCATGGAGGTGGATGTGGTGGTGGAGGGGACGGTGGCAATGGAAGAAGTAAAAGGTTGGTTGAAGATGGTTAGAGGTACCTTGGCCTTTATCAGTGGGTTTTGCTGGTTTTGGAACTCTGGTTGGTCTTCTCGAAACCTGAGGGAGATCTTCATCTCTGTGTGTCTGTGATCAAGAGAATAGGTTTCCTTTTCGGCCTCTAAGGAGAGAGAGGAGCCGTTGAAGCAGCAGATTCTCGATTGCGTTAGCGAGTTCCTCAATTTCGGGGCAGCTGGAAAACAGTACCTCTGGGCCTTAAACTTCCAATGTTAGCCCTCGTACTTGCTATTTTGTTGCTCTTTTATTTTTCCACCAAATATACACGTTGAGATTTTTATGCAAAATTCACTAGTTTTTTGGATAAGTCGTGTTAGGTGCTTCCCTCCAAATGTCACTTTTGTAATCTAAAAGCAAGTTAAGCAGAAAGCGTTTTTAGGGAAATACCGTAAAATATCATCAAGGCAAACTTACTTCTCCAAATACCATCCGAATACCAAGTATAAATACATACCTTATCACTTTTTCTTCTCTCTCTCTCTCTCTCTCTCCCGAGACCCATCTCATCCTCTCATCTATCTCTTATGAATCACAACCATTGACCCCATCTTCTAGATCTCTCTTTCGAATCGCCTAAGTGAGTAGTTGGTTTGAACCTCGAAGCTCAACTTCATCGCCGACCTCCAATAGGTTGTCTTCTTGTATTCTTTTTGTGTTCTCTAAATCTGTGTGGGTTTCTATCAAATGAGTTTTGTTTTGATTGCTCTGGTTTCCTCTATTTAGTCTTGATAGTCATTATCTTCATCTCTGTTCTCTCAAATTGGTTTTGTTTTGATTGCTTTGGGTTATCTGTTTTTAATGTTCATGCTCATTTTCTTTATCCATATGGGTTTTTCTCAAATGGATTTAGATTGCTCTGAATTTGTGAATCTTGAAACTTAAGATTTTCCATTTGATGTAGAAGATTTGTATTATCTAATTATGATGATTCTTTGTTTGAAACATCCAATGGATTTGTTCTTTGTCGATTGATTCTTGCATTTCATATTGGGATTTTCTTGTTTACTGTTGTTGTATTGCTGGTGGCTTCACATGTGTTAATGAAATGATGTTTTATCACGCTAAAAAATAGAGACAATTGTTATTTTGGTTTGCTACAATGGAAAATGGGTAACCTCAAAGAAGATATGCAAATACGAAGAAGGAAACTCAAAAGGCATAATAGTACCACGTACCATCACATTTGCTTAATTGTAATCTTATTTCTTATTTTAGTTTTTGGTGGGTGACGGCTGGAAGGAGTCAGAATAGGGATAAGGGTTTTTTAATTTTAGTTTTTGAATATTGTAATCTTATTTCTTATTTTCTAAATTGAATTTTCAAATATTTTATTATAATTTTATGCCACATAAGAAAATAAAAGAATAAATTTGGAAAATAAAAGCTAGTTGGTCTCATTCATTAATGACATTGTTTTAATTGTAAGGAAAGTGATACATGTCATTACCAAAAGGGGGAAGGTTAGAGCACCTCCACCCCAAAAGGCAAGGGCAAGGCAAAGGCAAAGTAAGGTTTGTCACTATTCACGTGAATAGTGGCAGCTATTACTGTTTTTGTTTCCACCCCAAAAGGCAACGACAAGGGCAATTACTATTCACTTTAATTTATTTTCTATTTTTTTTTATACTTAAACCATTAATTTTGGTGTGGAAAGTGAAAATATGACTAGATATTTATTTTTAAAAAAAATTCTAAAAATTATGGTATTTTTAAAGATTTTTTTTATCGTTGGGCCTGCCCAGGCTTGTGGAGCCCATAAGCTGCCTAGTCTTCTGTTGCGCGCTAGAGACCAAGCCCTGGCCCTAGGCCCCCTTCTACTCGGGCAAAATTGGAGCGCTAGAGGTGCTCTTAGAGAGAAGATCGCTAGCATTCCCCAAAAATAAATAATCATGCACTTCTGGACTTTGAATGAGAATATTTCCATGTGGAAGGCTCTGCATAAACGTTTAAACGTTACATGAATGGATTGATTAATAGTGTGTACGTATTTTAATACATGATTACATACATGGTCAACAAAAATTCAGTCCAAAAATTTCGAACACAAGTTTGACATTGTTATCCTCACTTCATGTCGTCTTGGATATGGATGCAGTTGTTTCAGCATACATCTTCTATACAACTATTAAAGAATTAGTTGCGGAACCTAAGTCTGATTCTGAATTATGAATCTGTATTTAAATCAGAATTCGATTCTGTGTCCGATTTCCAATCAACTGGTTTCATCCTGTTCGTATTGGCTTCTAGTGGAGGAAGTCCATCATCATCACTTGAGTCAAGCTCATTCTCTTCTTGTTGGGAGGTAGTGTCTCCCTGCAGACTTGCGTTGCATCCATCTGGAATTGCGAATTTGAAGATTTCTGGCCTTCATTGGGTGGTCAAAGCAAATATAAGGAACAAAAGACCAACAACAACAACAACAAAAAATAAAAAAAAGATGAGGTGGAGGAGATGCATGTTAGTGCCTGTCTCTCAACACTTAAAAACATTACAGAAAATGTGCCACAAGGCTGCAGGATTTCACATTACACTTCCATGAGCTACCTTTTTCCATTTTTCGGTAGGATTATGTGCTAGGTATGGAAACTATGGGAGGCTTGTTGGACTACTATTTCCACACAAAAAACAGAAAAAAGAAAAAGAATTTTGACAGTTGCAACGTAATGCTCAAATAGTAGACCTTCACCCATATGAAGGAAGCTAGAGTAAAAGGACATCGTACTATTAAATGTTTATGCAAGCCAAGTTTTAGAGGGTGGCATATAGTGAGATAGTGGCACAAGATGTGAAGAGAATACACACCATTCTGGTGATTTCTTAGGTCCCGTTTGGGATTGCTTTTTTTCGCCAAAAACCTGCTTCACTTTAAAGTTAAGCAGTTTTAGGTGTTTGGTAAAAATAAAATATCTCGATTATTTTAAAAGCAGTGGCCTTTTGACAGTAGCTTTTAAAAGCAGGCTATGGGTTGCTTTTCAAAGCTGCTTTCAAAAGAAGCAGAGATGAACCTTTAATGAATTTTTTTAATTCCTAAAATACCATCATTCATTTTAAAAAATAACACCACCTCCACTTCCACATCCAACTCCACCACTTACACCACCATATTCACTACCTCCACAATCACCGCCATCGCCATCGCCATCGCCACCGCCACCACCACCACCACCAACTCCACCTTCACCTCCACCTCCACCACAACCACCACCACCACCACCTCCTTCAAAACCTCCACATCCACCACCACCTCCACAACCAACACCACCACCACCACCATGCTGCCACCTCCACCACCATGCTGTCACTACCACCACCTCCACAAGCGCCATCCCTACCACCACCACCTCCACTCCATCACTACCACTACTACCACATGATTAGTACATAACACTTTTAACATCATGTCTATTTTAGTCATTATTCACAGTTACAACAATTTTATATTAAAACTTACCAAACGGTTTTGACACTGCTTTTTGTACTAACAACACTTTAAAAATATTGTTTACCAAACACGGAGCTGCTTTACTTTACAGTTAATTATTTTCAAAGCACAACATAAATAACTTTTTTTTAAAAGTGACAGCAATCCCAAACTGGGCCTTAAGCGCACGAACTTGTTTGTAAAACAGAACTTGCAAAACAATGCATGCCACTTTGCTGCCAGATTCAACAACCTTCTCCTTTTCACTTGCATTAACAACAACAAAGCTCCCTGCATAGAAAATGAATGCAAAAACAATTTCTTTTTGGGTACATTTACTAGAATCTGTTGAAATTGGTTGACTTTACAGGGAACAGAGTCAACATACGTCGTTTTATCCACATGCTCTTTTGAAATTTAGCTGGAAACAACGCCAAAGATTTCTCTCCCTGTGCATCCATGACCTCAAATTAGTAGAGCATAATCAAAGGCAAGCAGCAAACACATTGTGCAGTACAAATTCAGTTAATTTCTTTACGAACATAAGTTCAATATAAGAATTAGCCCAACCCCAGCACATCCCTTTATGATTTGAGTGAAGTCCTAGGGCATGGGAAGGAGCCAACCCACTAACTTATAGCCATTAGTGCATTTTCATTAACACTAGCTGTTAACTACATGCAGAAGCTGGATTTTGAAAAAAAATAAATACAGCTTTTAGGGTTAAAGATTGGCACTTCACTGCAACCAAGTGCATGAAGAAATAGATTGAATATAACAGAGTCTTAGAAGAGTTTTTCTCTAAAAAAAAAAGAGAGAGAGACAAAAAAAACGGATTTATTGAATAGAAGAGCACCTCAATGAGATTGGAACCACAGAGAGAAACTACTTGCATTATAGAGTGACCATCTTTGAGGGTCAAGCTCTCTTCCTCCACTGCCCTCTTCAGATTCTTCCTTCCACCTTTCATCGAGATTGAAAATTAAAACCCGAAAATGATCACGTTCTGCTCAGTCTTCAAGCTTTGGTTTTTGGGAATGTTGCATCCACATAGGAGCAAGGATGGTTAACTAACCCGCGCAACTACGGAACCGCCGCCTTGTCCACAAATTTTATCTAAATTATCATATGAATATGCAAATGTCAATAACCCGCTGCTACTAAATTACAATTTCCAGTCACATTATCAACATAACAATATCAATCCAACAAAAAAAACATAACAATATCAATCAATTATAAAATCTAATCCAAATAACAATATCATATCAATAAACTATAATCCATAAAAAAAACATTACACATATCAATTTCATTAAAAATATAAACTCTACTCACTTGAAAAATTATGGGGGGCGGCGGCAACACAAGGGCTGCTGCAGCGGTAGGAGATGGTCAGTGCCGGTGGAGTGGTGGTTGGGGTTAGGGTTTAAGAGGGAGTGTTAAACTACGGGAATTAAGGGTTTGGAGGACGCCTGGCTCAGGTCATTAAACTTTATATTTTCATTGGTTTTCTTTTCTTCTTTTGGATAAAATGAGATGGGGACCATATCACGGTTTTTTTTCTTCCAGGTCTTTTCAGTTTTGTTTTCTTCTCTCTTTTGTGTGGGTGTCAGGGTGTGTGTCATAGAATATGCTTATGAACCAGAATTTTCCGGGAACCTTCTATATTATTAACAGTAATAGATATCTTCGTGTGGCATTTGTCCATCGACCTCATGGTTATAATTTCATCATATCCATTCTTATGGTGTTTGATGAAGTATCTTTTTCAACATTAAAAAATACCCTAAAAAACTACATGACTTTGATTGGGCTACGTTGTTTTCTATTTTAGGGTTAAACGCCAAAATGTCACCAATTCTGAACTGCTTATAGTGTAGTATTGGAGTCACAATATATATACATATATATATATATATTTCCATTCTATTGAGGGATTTTTCAAATAATTTTATTTGAGGGATGCCCTTTAGGATCCTTTAGGGTACCTTATGAATTTTTTTTCCAACGATCCAAGTCATTTATTTTTTAAGTTTTCATTCATAGATCATTCTTGCAAAAAATTAGACAAATCGGAAACTATTTAGACATCTAAAATGTGCAGAGATGATAAAATGATATCTAAAATCCAAACCGTTTAGACATCTAAAATCCAAACTACAAAACATGCTTATACTAAAACTTAATAATTTAATTGAATGGTCAAATGATATCGGATTCAAGTGATTTTTTGCTAGGGTTATTTACTCAAATGGTCCTCAAATTTATATTTGATTTACATTTTGGTCCCTCAATTAAATTATTCGTTCAAATGTTCCATAAACTCTATATTATTCGGCAAATTGATCCTACTATCTAATTTTCTATTAGATTTAACCAAATTTTAGGGTAAATATGACTTTTCATAATTAACAAATAAAAATAGGGTTAAAATAAATATAAAATTAGAAACACTTGAAGAAAAAAAGAAAAAAAATCATAACACCCAAATATGACTTTTCATAATCCGGAGTTGATGTCCCAGAAATCAAATGAGAGTTTTCTCGGTATCATGGAGGTGTATGAACTGATGTTGAAGGTTTTGACAGTTGGGATCCCATCATCTGTGTTGTAGGTCAAAAGGATTTGTGCCCCAGCCATCTTGGTGGAGGTGGGGTTGATGCCCCATGCTACCCAGTTGTCAAATTGGGAGGGCGTAGAGACAAGGGTGATGGATAAAGAGGAGTTGGAGGTATTGTAGGTCCAGTGGAGGTAGGAGTTGAGGATGGGAAGGTCGGGTGAGACTAGCAGAGCTAGGAATGAGAAGAAGAAGAAGAAGAAGAAGAACTACCTAGCTGTCAGATTGGGAGGGCGTAGAGACAAAGGCAATGGATAAAGAGGAGTTGGAGGTATTGTAGGTCCAATTGAGGTAAGAGTTGAGGATTGGGGGGTAAGAAGAAGAAGAAAAAGAAGAGTTTATGGATGAAATGACCAATTTGCCCTCATATTTAATGGAAATATTGACAGAATATAACAGTATGACCAATAGACCAAATAATATAAAGTTGATGGATCATTTGAACAAATAATTTAATTGAGAGATTAAAATGTAAATCGGGTATAAATTTGAGAACCATTTGAGTAAATAACCATTTTTTGCTAATATGATCTTTGAATGAATATTTACAAAATATAAGGTTTGGATTAATAAAATGCAATGTATGATAGACCCTATAAAGATATCCTTCAAATAAACTTATTTGAGAGATCTCATTATAAATATATATATATAATATATTATATATATATATTCTTGTATTATAATATATTATATATATATATATTCTTGTGTTATAATATAAATAAATATTTATTCATACTTGGCTATTGACACACATGTTATTTTATAGTCTCCAATATTATTATTTATCAGAAAAAAAAAGGGAAACATGTAAGAAATGAAAATATAAATAAGAGGAGAAGAAATGAACGTGCAAACTGTCTGAATCCTGGACAGACTCTCTTCCTTTCCTTTTGCTCCAACGAGACTCTCTCTCGTCCTCGGCTTTCCCTCTCTCATTCCATTTCACCATAGCTCGTAGGGCCATTACCAATTTGGCCATAGCTTCCTTTCTCTATCTTTCGTCAATAACAATTAACAAAACACTCTCACTTCTCCAAGCTTTTCTTCAATGGCGACCCTTAATGTTCCCGCAAGATTGTCTTTCTTGAAACCTGAAAGGTCTAGAGCCACTGATCGATTGGCTTCCTCCAAGAGCCTGTGTGATTCTACTGCGTTTCACTGTAGACCCAGAAGAAAGTATGCTCAGAAGAAGCAAAGCTTTACTGTTAAATCAATTGGGATCTTCCAGGACAGCAGCAGAGGCCATTTTAACTCACACAATGGTCCTGTGGGGAGCGTTGTAAGTTTGCTTTTTTCTTGTTTCCATGTTTTATGCTTTCTCTGTTTTTCCTATTGGGGGAGCTTTGCTTTTGTCCTTTTTATAACATGGGTTGTCAATAGTTCTTGAATTTAACTTTTGTGCGTGTTCTAATTTGGTTTTGTATTGTTCCGTCTCTCAGAGTGTGGAAAACTTTGAATATTTCGAAATTTTAGATTTGGTATTTCAATTGGTAGGCACACGGGGCTGAAGTTTCTTCCTTTACTTCAAGTAGACATAAAAACACCTATAATCTTTAGTTTCTCGTGATATTGCTCTGTTTGGTTGCTGAGAAAGTTTAGGATAAATGAACAAAATAAGATACCTGTCTTCACATTAGCATTGTGAGGATCTGGGGACTGCAATACCCTTCTCCTTTTAAAAGGCTGAATACAGATTCTTGGATTAGTTAAGTTGCTTTCTAGCATGAAACTTAGAAATACAGTAAATGCATGGTAAATTTATTGCCTGCTTTAATGCTTTTTCTAGCTTTGCTATGTTTTGCGTATTGAAGACGGTTGCTTCATTAGAATGCAGTTAATAGTGTCACTTGTGCGTGTTCTAAATCTATAACCTTGAAATGTTGTTGTCTTGTTTTAGGACAAGGCTGACTCAACTTTTGAACTTCAGTCTGATAATGATTACCTTATGGACCAGCCAAAGGTATATTCAGATGGTATAAGGAAAACTAAGATAGTATGTACAATTGGTCCTTCAACAAGCTCACGCGAAATGATATGGAAACTGGCTGAAACAGGAATGAATGTTGCACGTTTGAATATGTCACATGGGGACCATAAGTCACACCAGAAAACCATTGATCTTGTCAAAGAATACAACTCTCAATTTGAAGACAAGGTTGTAGCCATAATGCTGGACACCAAGGTATGTTGATTGCTTTTTCTCTCTCATTCTTTGCCTGCTCATATCCTATTTAACTTATCGTTAGGAGCACAGGTTTCTGCATCAAGAATTGCTGCATTGGCGGGTACATTTGTTTCACCTGCTGTGGATCAAAAGTTTTTTTATTTTTTGTTTAACATATGATTTTGTTTTTTCTCCACTCTGCTTCTTTTCATGAAGAAATTTTACATTTATTATGTAAACTGTGATTTTCATTTTTACTGTTGTAGACTACTCCAAATTGTGTATCATAAAATAGGACTGGACTTTTGAAACATGCAGAACATTGCCCCTTCTAGATTAAAAGTTTCATTTACATTTAGCATGTGTTAGTTTAGATTTTCATTCTCAATATTTAGTGTACTACTCTCAAGTGAATGCTCACATTTATCGCATTGTAAATAATTTTTTTAGCATAAAGGCTTTGAATATCTCATCCTGATTCTTTCTAATCACCATTGAGGTTATGGTTGATATATGATTTTTCTTTCTTCATGCAGGGTCCTGAGGTTAGAAGTGGAGATGTACCACAACCAATTATTCTTAAAGAGGGACAAGAGTTTAACTTTACAATCAAAAGAGGAGTTAGCACAGTGGACACAGTTAGTGTAAACTATGACGACTTTGTGAATGATGTGGATGTTGGTGACATTATTCTAGTTGATGGTAAGCATAATGTTTTGTGGGTGCTGAATTTGTGGACGAGTCACTTTGTTTTTGTTTTTCATCCTATGTGATATGATATTTCTGTTAGCATGTCTTTCTTTGGTTTTAGAAGTATGGTAAATCAAATCTTGACTCTTTTGAGTAAATTCATTAAAGAGACTGAAGGATCTTGTTTGTGCATGCAATTCCACTAAGTTTTGGAACTCTGTAACTGGTGAGAGTGACCTACAGATTATTGTCATAGCTGTTGTGCATTATGAGTTGTTGCTTTGGTCAACTTTAATGGCAACTGTAATATTATAGAACTAGATTAGTTTTGTAGTGAGCTGGTGTTTGTTAACCTCAAGTTGGTGGGGTAGGGGTTATCAAGGAAGAACTTAGCCACACTAATGTTGACAGTTTTCAGATGTATTGGAAGTAATGTCCGACTGCATCTTGCCATTTACTGAATCAAACTGGCCACCCTGATGTCAAGAGTCAACTCAGTAGTCTTTTGGTATAAATAGGCATAGGGTAATGTTCTTTTCCCAAGTCTCTGGCTGGTTATGTTGCCAGACTCTCAACATGAACAATAAAAATATACTCGATTAGTTTCTTTAAGATAAAAAGAAGAGAATCTCCCTAATTAGGGATCCAAACTGACATGCCACTGTGTGGCGAGAGAACATTTCCGTTCATACACACACACGGGAAATGGATTAGGCGTGAAATTGTCTGCATGCAGACTGGTGAGAATAACAAAGGCTGTTCAAATAACTGTGTATGGCCGTTCGAATGGCTTTGTTTTGTTTTTTTTTTTTTTTTTTTTTTTTTTTTGAGTCGAGTCCAGTGTGGAATGTGTTCCTTGTCATTAATATGTTTGCTCGTGGTAATTGTGGCCTCTCAGGTTAATCATATCGGCTACAGTACCGCCCTCATATATTTTCTACAGGGAAAACTTGTGAAGATGGGGCCTCTGTTAAGGAATCACATGTGGGCCCACCCCTCAACGTGATACGATAATCCGAACTGTCTACTTTCCTCATTGAAGGATCTCTTTACAAAGAATAGTTCAATTGGAAACCGTTTGGCCATCTAACTATGACCAAGTACATAGACACAATGTTTCAGATAAACACTGAAATGATAATGAGGATAATCAAATGGCTGAATGAGTCTCTGTTAGCTGATTTTTTGTAGGAATGATTCTTAAATGGTGACAGAAAAAGTGAATGGTTCAAATCATGGGACCAACATTGCAGGGTGGGCCCATAAATGCTGTCTATCTTTTTTCTTGCAAAGAGGGATCTTTCTTAAAAAAGGAAGGGGTCTATATGTATCTTAATCTGTTTGATTTAGCAAGTTCAAGTAGTTGTAATTGTACTTTATCATCCCAGTGGTTAGAATGTCTTGAATTGATTCTTTTCTTACCGCTCATAAATTACGTTGTAACCAAGGGAGGTGGAATATCAACCCCACCCCCACCCCCCCCACCTTGATGATATCATGTCTTTCTGCTAGGTGGAATGATGTCGTTAGCTGTGAAGTCAAAGACAAAAGATTTGGTTAAATGTGTGGTAGTTGATGGCGGAGAACTAAAATCAAGGCGCCATTTAAATGTGCGTGGAAAAAGTGCAACTCTGCCTTCAATAACAGGTAATCTTCACCAATGTTTTTGGTGTTTATATGAACATCAGTCCATTTGATTTTCAAAAATTCGAAGAGGCACACAATATTCAATTTGTTGGTCTGCTTTATTGGTCTCTTCTACAGAAAAGGACTGGGAAGATATCAAGTTTGGAGTGGACAAAGGAGTTGACTTCTATGCTGTCTCATTTGTTAAAAATGCTGAGGTGGTCCATGAGTTGAAAGATTATCTCAAAGGTAAACTTCTTCAATCTCTTATCAGTTTATTCAGTTAACATTTCTTCTTTGTGGATCTTTATAGTATTGTCTCCTAAACTTAATTTGCGCCTCTTCTGTAGGTTGCAATGCAGATATTCATGTTATTGTAAAAATAGAAAGTGCGGACTCTATACCGAATCTTCATTCGATAATTATTGCATCTGACGGGGTTTGTCTTTATTTGTAACTTTTGTTTTCTTGCATGCAATAAAAGCCCTGCCATCCTTGTTCTTTGATTGGTACTACCGTAAGCAATGACTTATTATCCAGTTTCTTGTTTTGCTGTCTGCTTTATAGGCAATGATTGCTCGTGGAGACCTTGGAGCAGAACTTCCAATTGAGGAAGTTCCTTTATTGCAGGTAATTTGATCATAGTGTATCTTTACCATTTCTAGCGTATCTTAGCTAAAGATTTGGGTTGTGAATTAGGTGAGTGGCCTTTGAGTTACCTTATGTCTTATCTTTGGTGGTACTCTATATTATTATCTATGTGCCTTAACCCCTCTTCCTCTCGAAGGCAGCCTTTTCGTGCACCCTTCTTTTTGTTTTTCACTTTTTCTATTGGTGCTGAGTAACATGCCTACTTTCTGTTTGTCCATTTTTTCATGTGCCAATTAAGGGAGCTAAGATCTTAGGAAAGTGATGAGTGATTTCCATGGAAGAGGAGTGGAGAGGAAACAAATGGCTGTGACCTTGTGCAAAAACCAAGGGAGAAGGGCAGTTTTGGAATCTAGGAGTACTGAAGACTGTTACAATCAGAGATCTCAAGACAATGATATTTGTTATTGATAGGAGTACTGAAGACTGATACAATCAGAGATCTCAAGACTACTTTCAAAACCAGACAGTAGTTCAATAATCAATAGTACCTTTGCTAATGAATATCTGGGGCTTAGAGATGGTAAATAATAGGATGTTTCAGAGTCACAATATGTTCTGTGTTTGCATCTGTGATAATATTTGCTGCTTATATGACATAGCTTGTGATGGTTGACTATAATCTGCATCCCAAAGCAATAATGCACTCTCTATGTCTGTGTATAGCCTTATCATTTTCAAATGATAAAGTTGAATTTTAACCTTTATGGTTGATTTTGAAGCTAATTTTATTGTGTAACTGAATCCTGTGTTATCTTAAAAGGAGGACATCATTAGAAGGTGTCACAGTATGAAGAAACCAGTGATTGTAGCAACCAATATGCTGGAGAGCATGATTGATCATCCTACGCCAACCAGGGCAGAAGTTTCTGACATTGCAATTGCAGTAAAAGAAGGTGCTGATGCAATTATGCTTTCTGGAGAAACTGCCCATGGAAAGTAAGTCAACTGGTTGACATTTGGCAAGTCACAGTACTTATTTCCAGTTTCTATCTTGATAGAAATTATAATCTATTTATTTGTAGATATTGCGTCACTTTTTATATGTGAAAATTTCTTTCTATTATGTTGGTTTTTAATACGGGGATTGCATTTCTCATTAGTATTGGTTTTCTTTATCTATAAATCCTGGGATGACCAGTGATGGTTTTCGTCACTTTTGTCAACCTTTGCAGACATGTGTAAAATACCAATTCATCCAGTTAATAATTTATTAATTGGTTTTTTCGACATATTTGATGGGCTAGTTTAGGTTGACCTGCTTGAATACCTTTTCATATTTTCACTGCCAGTAAGTTTTTTATTAATCCTCATTTAAAAACTTTACTGTTGACACCCATCTATTCAATTTTTATGCTGGTCCTGGTTCTAGTTTGGGCTATGTCATGTATCAGTTAGCTGTCAAGATTGTTTCTGGTTTTTATTTATTTTTATGCCACTAGAGTCTATTGCATAACAACACCTTTGATTGTGAGCTAGTCATCCCATGACATAGAAGATTAATTAGAGTGTTCGCCATTTTGGGTAAACTCTGACTTTGTTACCATAAGTAATTATTTATTTTATAAGTTCCTCTGTAATAGTGAGAGAGCAAGAGAATCCTATATTTGTGTTAATTTTTACTTGCCTAATACATTGATACATACTCAGGAAACCTTGGTTGTTCTCTTTCTTCTGGATTCCCTCATTCTTGGCCAATGACATTTGTCGGTTATATATAGTATATTATTTTATTTTATATTTTTGTGAAAAGTTTCATACTTTTTTAATGCTGACAATTTGTGGAACAACCGTCATATTTTTATATATTCTGCAATTCTAAATCTAGGCATCCATTGAAAGCTGTTAAAGTAATGCATACTGTGGCTTTAAGAACTGAGTCAAGCCTACCAATTAGCACTTTTCCTCCAATTCAATTGAGGGCCAATAAGGTACGCAATGATTGGATCTGAGGAATTATGGTACTTTTTCGGCTGTATAAGTTATTTTGGAAATATGATTTTTTTCGTTTCGTTTTAGTCTGATATTTTTCGGTTGTATATGCTTTTTATTTTTAGAACTTCTTGGTGCTGGGTTGCTTGAGGTTAAAATTTTAGCATGTTCTGCAGTTAATTTGAGATCTACCCATTGAATCTGATTACTTTGTGGATACTTTTCACAGAGTCATATGGGGGAAATGTTTGCTTTCCATTCAACAACTATTGCAAACAGTCTCCAAACACCCATCATTGTTTTCACGAGGACAGGATCCATGGCTGTGCTTTTAAGTCATTATCGGCCTTGCTCAACAATATTTGCCTTCACAAATGAGTAAGTCCAGTATTCTAATTTTTTAAGGTCACATGTTGAGTTGTCATGTGATCTATATCTTGGAAAACAATTTCTGCTTTAGAATGATTGGCATGCTGCATTTATTGTCAGTCAGTCCTGCTTATATGAATGAAATACATATGCATATATGTGTATATTTGCTCTCTGCAGTTGATTCTTAGTTATCTTTTGTTTGCATCTTTTGCCTTATAGTGAACATGCATGCGGTTCAAATATAGATTTTACATGGAAAACCATGTCAACTTTATACATGTGACATTATACATTTACCTGTAAGTAAGGGCCTAAAAAATAGTTTAACCTTCTGAGAAAAGGTGATACAATGTTCTCTGCTCTAAGCGTTGCTCTTTGACCTCCTACTCAACAGTTATAGATAGAAACGATCAGTCAGGAAGATTACCAGCTCCTTGGTATAGCCCTTAACTTACCATAGCTTTGTTGATAGAGGCCAGCCAGTTTTCCGTCTCTGTTTTTGTTGTATACTTTTATTTATAGAAGTTTTCATGCAACAATTGTTTGCATTAGGGTCATTAAAGCTTTTGACTGCGGAATCTAAAAGCATTTCTGATGGAGGCTGTTGGGTACTAGCACAGCATTTCTACAGATATTGCTATAAATAAAATAAAATATTAAACTTACATTAAACTGCCATGTTGAAGACTGCATATTCTTCAGATTTGCTGCGCCATTAAAAAAATTTCATTCACATTCCCTTTGGTTTTTGCCTCACAGGGTTATTGCAAATGCAATCGATATTCTTTTTCTATGTTGGGGATTTTGAGCAATTTAAACTTCTTTTCACTATTTGTTCTTAAATTTGTGACATAATTTCTTGTTAGCAGAGAAAGGATTAAGCGGAGGTTAGTGCTTTATCATGGTGTCGTCCCCATATATATGCAGTTCTCAAATGATTCGGAGGAGACTTTCTCAAGAGCAATAAAGCTATTAGTAGTTAGTGATTACTTATTTCTCAATTGTGTGTCTCCTTTTATCTGATTTACATTATACTCTTATGTGTTCTGAATTTTGCCATTATTATTACTTGCACAGGCTAAAGGTCTTTTAAAAGAGGGGCAGTTTGTTACTCTTGTACAAAGTGGTGCGCAACCAATCTGGCGTCGAGAATCTTCTCACCATATCCAAGTTCGTAAAGTTGAAAGTTGGTTTTGAACCTCTGAGGAGTTTTCTTTCTCTTTTAGTTTCTTTTATTCAAATTGAAGTTAAGTTTAAGTAGTTTACATCTTGTGAACACTTGTTCCAAGTTCCAATGAAAGGGTAGATCAAATGAACTTCGTAAACGATAATGTGAAGGAGTTGTGTCGTTACGAATTTTAGAAGTTTCAATAGTGTCCTGTAAAATTTTGGAATTATTTGTTTGTGTTTCTAGGTATATTTGTACACAGAAATCTATGGATCCAGATCTGTAAATCTATGCCATTTCGAGCCATAACCTCTCTTTTTGAATGCAATTTTCCTTTTTTTATTTTGGTCCTTTTCTTTAACATTGCCCTTGCCGATATCCGCCCTAGTTGTCTTCTGTGTGTATGATGAAATCTATCTTTCTCTGGTTTGTCGACAGCTGGTAAAGAATTGTTTTGTTATGTGATAGTTGTAGATTGCTGCTAGTTTATGGATCTTTGGCTTGTTGCTAGTTAATGGTGCTTTCCCCAAACAAAATCCTTGCCAAGTTTCACCATGAGGAACTTAACATTCTGCCAGGAAGATAAACTGCAATTTTCATCCTTCTCAGATAAAAACTTATCATAATCTTTGGTTACTCTGACATTTTTCTTTGTTGCTTAGGAAAATCGTCTTCCGGAAAACTTAGACAGATCATAGGAAGATGCCTTTTTCTCGGTTGCCCTTTTTTGTAGTCAATCCTTTACTAACATGGTTCATCCATAAATGTGTTTCATATATGTGTAGCCAAATTAGGTTCTGGTAGGTTGTTGAAGAAACATGCAAACTAATTCTGAGAGAAGAGGTGCTTTCATTAAGGTTGGAGGGAGAGATTAGTTCGCTTACATAGTTATGTGCTACAGCTTCACAGAGTGCCCAATCATATTACAATAGATTTCTCTACCAGCACATGTTAATTCTATGGCTTGCAATAAAACAAACAAATCAGAATGAGGAAAGATGTGAGACCTAAGCCAAAAGTTACCCATCTCTTTAAACACACTTCCTGGGTAGAAAAAGTAGAGTGTTGGTGCTGCGGAGATACAGAGAGAAACGGGGCTAGGAGTCGTGAGAAAAGGGTTTCTCTTACTCCTCCTGACTTTGTTGCCAACCTCATTCTTCTTATTTAATATAAGTTGCTAGCATAGGTCTTAACATGTCTGCTTAGTTTTTTATACATCAGACTTTGAAGTTTCCTTGCTCATCATCATTTACTTCAAATCTTCCCTCCAACTTGATACTCTTGTACCACTTGGCGCATGCGATGTAGACAATCAAATCTATCGATGTCAGGACAGCTAAGAGGAAGTAAAACCTATCTAGGTGACCCTTGTTGAGGTTTCCGGGGATCCATCCGGGCATGTCATCTGCCGTTGAGATCTTCATGACCACACTCACGAGAAAGCTGCTAAAGTAGTTACCCAGTGAGATTGATGTCATGCACAAGGCGCTCCCAAAGCTCTTCAGCCCGTCTGGTGTTTGTGCATTGAAGAACTCCAGCTGACCCACATACATGAACACTTCAGAAGCTCCTATGCATGCATACTGAGGTATTTGCCAGAAGATGCTTAAGGAGCTGGACCCTTCACAATGTGGACATTCTTTATCGGCATACTTAAGCCTATAGCACTCCACAATTCCTGCTGAAAGCATTGCCAAGACTGCAACAACAAGGCCAATGCCCATTCGTTGGAGCTCAGTAAGCCCTTTAGCATCTGATTTCCTTATTCTAGCTACAACTGGGTCAAGAATTCGTCGGTAAAAGAAAATGAAAACTGCAACGCTGAGGATGTCGAAGCTAGACATGCTAGCTGGTGGGATTTTAAAGTTTGAAACAGTAGTTTTCATGGCAGCTCCCTGCTCTACAAAGAGAGAAGCCATTTGTGTGAAAACCACCGAGTAGAGAATGGTGCAGAGCCAAATTGGGAGTAATCTTAAAATGCATTTAACTTCTTCCACTTGTGAGATTGGGCAGAGACGCCATGGGCTGAGAATGCCCTGCTTCTGGTGATCTAAATCTCTTGATGAGATATATGCAGCCCTGTCCAAGAACCTGCAGTTTATGGAGATGAAAATGAGTTAGCTCTGTATTTCAATAGTCATAGAAACTGACTGTAACTAAGCCTGTCAGGCTTTGGTTTCCAATCAGTTGGTTGGGTTGGCAATAGCATTTATCATCAGAGCTTAAAATGGGAAAATCAATTTGTAGTTCAAGATGCCCAAATTCAGCAAGATTGCTTTATTGAGCCTATGGAAGATAATTGTCTCAAATCGAAAAACCATAACTAAATCCATAAAAGTTTACCCAACTTTAAGAACATACAGAGAGTTATGAATTTAAGCTGCACTCTTACTTGAATCCATGGGTGTAGAGGATCTTTCGGTTGCTATTAGAAGACTCTTTTTTAGCCTCGTCATATAAGTCGTCTCCACCTTGTGGCATCTCCGCCCTGCATTTCTTCATCGCAGCAACTAAGACTTGGCAAAACCTCGAAAGCGGGTTGCCATTTGGCTTGAAGTGCCTGTACCTAGCAGTCCCACCAAGAAACAAGACCAAAGCTGCAAATGCAGATGCAGTGGATGCCCAGAACCCAATGGCCCAAACTCCTTCATCCTCAAAGTATCCCAATATGGTGTTGGAGAAAAGGGAACCAAGGTTCATAGCCAGGTAGAAGTAGCTAAAAAAGGCCACCTTTGAATGCCCCTCCTTGTTGTCCTCTTCATCAAACTGATCAGCTCCAAATGTTGCAATGTTTGGTTGGTACCCTCCATTTCCTAGGGCAATGAGGTAGATGGAGAGGTAGAATAACCAAACATGTAACTTTGAGTGTGTTCCACATGGATCTTCTTGGCTCCCACAACCTTCTGGCTTCAGCAAGAAGAGTTGGGATGATAGTGACAATGATATCAGACCCTGTTGTCAAATGCACACAAGTCTCATAAACAATGCATTGAAAACAAAACTAACTCATACTCGCTCCGATTTCAAGAGCATATAAGAAGAAAAAAATCAAGCTAATCATACTTACTGTGACAAAGATTAGTTGAAAGATAGCACAGGTTTTGTATCGCCCCCAATACGAATCACTGAGGAAAGCACCAACAAGGGAGAAGATGTAGACCGTTCCAGTCCATTTGCTCACGTTGTTAGCAGCAGTTGCATTGTCTTGTTGCAACACCCTTGTTAGGTATAAGACCAGGTTCACTCCGACTCCGAAGAATGCTAGGGTAGCCAGACCTTGGTTCACTGTTTTTCATCGAAGGGTCCAATAAGAGAAGCGTCAGAAGGTTGATAAAGTATGTACGGAGTTTCAAGCAAGTAAATGTTGTACAGAATAAAATTTTGCTAAGATTCAAAAACCAAAACATCCCAAGTGTAATGAAGTTTCATGTGCATCAATTTTAGGCGGCTTTCGGGGTGATCAGAGAAATCGTTTTCAGAGTTGCTTCCAAGAAAAGTCCTAAGCATTAAGAATGGAAAAGAGAAGTTCCCAAAACTTCTTTGAAAACAAAATCAAAGCCCACATATGGCTAGAATTTATCAAACATGTTCAAGATGTTTCAGTTATTAACAAATGGTCCATCTTCTGTTTCAATCATAGCTAACTGAAATCAGACTCCTCCATAACAGATCACCGGCCAGAAATTAATAAGCATTAATGGAATTGTGGCGTGTAAACCATTTCACTATGAAATAGTCTTGGTAGCAAGAAAGGTTCCTTTCGGAAAATTTAAAAAAAAATTGGTCACCTTGCGACAAGGGCCATCCATGCAAATGCTTTCAATTTTATTTTAAATTAAATATGCAATATTTTAATAAAAGTCTATGAAAATTTTATTATTTTATTATCTTTTTAACACCGAAATTAACCTAAATTCGTGCGGTGATCGTGGTTGCTTTGTATGATATGTTCCCTTTTTGTCTTTTAATAAAAAAGGCAAAAAAGAAGAAAATCTTTAGGGTGTGACAAAGTTATTTGATTTTACAGTCATGCTTTAAATTAATTAATTGCCTAATTTTACAAAATTATATAGGAAAGTAGGACATTTTCATAAACCCAGCGATGTTAATCTTAAAAAAAAACAGAGACTAGTTTTGCGGTTACAAATAAATGAATGAAGACATTAAATTTGGGGAATTTGGGGGTGGTGGTGGGGGCCAATTGCTTCCATTAAATTTTGTTTAGCCTAAATATTAAAGAAAAACACGTGGCAGAAACCCACGTCACGGAAGATCAAGGGCCTGATTACGTGTCCGGCACGTATTACTCTGAATGCATGCTTTCCTCACCTTCACTCCCTTTCTCAATTCTCTTGTCATGTCGTTAAGTTGAAACTAAAGTGGTAACTCAAGCCTTTAAGGCTTCTCTCTCTCTTCTCTCTCTCTTCAAGCTATGATGTCTATTTTTCTCTCTCTAAAAACATGGTGATTATGAGGTGGCTAAAACCCAGCATGCAACAAACAAAGTCTCTGCAACACTTGGTTTGGTTTTCAGTGCCAAATGTTACCTCTCCCATTCACTTATATTGTCTTTTTCCCCTTCCATTTATTATGACTTGTATTTGACAGATCATATCTCTCCCCAACCCCCCACCCACAAAAAACAGAAAAAGAAAAAAAACCTCTTCTTCCAACTGCTTATCCATAAACAAGTTTTCATTTCAGATAAACTCTGTTTTCTAGTTTGTTTGGATGTTCTTGGATGTTCCTGATATAAACCACCTAAAGTTACTGTGTATATAAGCTGAGTGAGAACCAAGCAGTAAGGCAACAAGGACATCAAACTAAGCCCCAACATCAGAGGACCTTGGAAAGTGACCAAATTTTTGTTTTTGAAAATGACCAATTCAATGATCACCAAAGAAGAAAGAAAAAGAAAAGTGTGCATGAGCTTCAAGGAATTCAAGATTAACACAAACTATCAAAGAAACCCAATAAACTAAGAAATTTCTGTGTGTTCTGTTTTCTTGTGGAGAGCTTACCAAGAATG